GGAGAGGATTGGATTCCCTGCCTGTATAACCCCCAGGTTCTGCCAGGGTTACTGGGAAACGATAAAACCAAGTACTTCTTTTCTCTTCTCCCATCTCACTTCATTATTTTGCCTCTCTTCTTCCCATAGTCCTTCTACAGTTGTCCTTACCCATGACCATCCCCCACTACCACCAGAGGCCTAACTCCAGCCACTCATCAGTGGTTGCTGCCATTTGGCCAAAACCAGGGAGGAAAGAGGCCTCAAATATTCTTGCTTTGAAAATATTGAGAACTGAGTGGTGTGTCAAGGCCTAAGCAACCAGTAGCTGGGGCCAAGTGGAAGAAAGAGGGCCATAAGCTGGGCAGATCTCAAGGTCAAGAATCCAGATGGTCTGTGAAACTACTTCTAAAACCCAAGTTTTTTTCCTGGTCGGGTTTATTAAGTTATAATTTACATACAGTAAAATTCACTCTTCGTATTTTTTTTAGCTATTGATAGGCCTTTATTTTATTCATTTATTTATATGTGGTGCTAAGAATCGAACCCAGTATCTCACACATGCTAGGCAAGTGCTCTACCACTGAGCCTCAACCCCAGCCCAAATTCACTCTTTTTAGTGTATAGTTCCAACACCAAAAAAGTTTAACTGACTGCAGCTATGTAACCACTATCATCATCCAGAGAATATTTTCACACATCCTTGCCCACTGTACTTAACTCCTTCCTTCCTTTTCTAGCCCCTAGAAAAGCACTGCTCTGTTTTCTGTGGCTGTGGTGTATGTTGGCAGCTAATTCAAATTTTTCTAGGTCACAAGTTTGCTCTTCTGGTCATTACAAAAGACCGAAATCTTCTACCAAAATCCCTGGAAAAGGAAATCTGAAGTCTAGCTTATCTGCTTGAAATGGTCTATGAAGTGGGAAACAGGGGACTCTAATATAAATTAATAGTTGAGTGAGTCCCCCACCATTTTAAAATTAGCTGAGAGACCATTATATGCTAGCCAGGCATATGCCATGAGAAGCTACTATTAGCCCTACTTTTTAGAGAGAGAAACATGATTTCAAAAAGTTAAACAGTATAACCAAGAGCACAGACTAGAGCCTGGTTCTGCATCCTAGTTCCTTCTCTTTTAGCTCTTTGAACTTGGCCAAGTTGCATAGCCTCTCAGTGCCTTGCTTTCGTCATCTATAAAGTAGGAGTAATAAGCCAAGGGTGGTGCAACATTCCTATAATCCCAGTGACTTTGGAGGCTGAGGTAGAAGGATCATGAGTTCAAGGCCAGCCTAGCACCCTAGTGAGTCCCTATGCAACTTAGCAAGACCTCATCTCCAAAATAAAAAAGGGCTGGGGCTATATAGCTCAGTGGTAAAGTGCCCCTGGGTTCAATCCCCAGTACCCCCCAAAACATAATAATAGTACCAACTTCCTGGGTTGTTGCAAGGATCAAATGAGTTTATATATGTATGTGAAGAGCTTAGAATAGAGCCTGACATGGCTGGGGTGTGGCTCAGTGGTGGAGCATGCTCAAGGACCTGGGTTCAATCACCAGCACTCCCATCCCTCAACATAGTGCCTCAGTCAGAAAGAGTGTTCAACGTTCACTTTCATGATCTGCATAGTCCCCAGGCCTTGCCAGACTCCTAGGATGTACTGGGATATTCCCTGCTTTCAGTGAACTTGCAGCCTCCTTTCTACAAATAAGGATGATACCTATGAAATACTGGAGACCAACTTAAATTAAGGAATGTAAAAGCTGAAATGCAGGAAAATATACTATATGGGGGCAGGTAACCCTTAATTATCTCAAGCCTGAAGTAACATTCCTTATTGATTTGCCTGAACTCCGCTGCCTTTTCACAGTGACTCCTTTGGGAAGCCCTCCATTCTTCTAATATTAAATAGGCATGGAGCCTGCATATAGTCCAGGATTCACGCTCATCTCCAGGCTGGCCACCCTTTAAAAATAAAAGAATACCAGGATCTCTTGAAAATCTACAGTGTCAGTTTCATTGCTTTTCAAACATTTACTAAACATGTATATAGTAGCTATTAATTAAACTGCATTATGCTAAGCACTAGGGATTTAAAAACTGGTAGGAAATGATCCCCACCCTCACAGAGTTTAAAGATCCATGTAGGGGCTGGGGTTGTGGCTCAGAGGTAGAGCGCTCGCCTACCATGTGTGAGGCACTGGGTTCGATCCTCAGCACTACATAAAAATATAAAAAATAAAGATATTATGTTCACCTATAACAAAAAATAAATATTAAAAAAAGATCCATATAAAGTTCACATTTGTACCCTCTATCTCCAACCCACAGCATAAACCTGGCTATTATACTTTCCAGACTCAATTCAAACATCACTTCTTCCCAGAAGCCTTCCATTGTACTTCTCCCTTCCTCCTGGAATTAGGTACTTCACAAACAGCTTATCTGCAGTACAATTATTCATTCTGGATCATAAGGTCCAATTCATAGGGTCCTAATTGTAGAGCTACATAGTGGACGTTCAATATAGGATTGTTGACTGAATGAATGAGGGAATCCCCTTTTTTGTTCCAAAGCCCTGCCTCTCCCCCTAGCCCCTGGTGTCTTCCACCTGGGCACTTTACATTAAGCCAGGTCTCTGGCTGTCCTCCTTTCTGATCTGCTGTGTTGCTCTGGTCTTCCTGGGAAGCTCTGCCCTCATCCAAAGGCAGAACTGGATTCAAGTGATTTCCAGAAGCAGAGGAAATTCCTAGGCCTCCCTCCCCATCTTACTGTTTGGAGGGACAGCAAGAGTTAACTAGTCATTTGGCTTGGAAAGGATGAAGAGAGGAAGAGGGCCTTGGCACTGGGGGAGGTCACTCAGCCCGCCCTCCCTGAGTCAATGGCAACCTCTGACATCAGCAACAGTTATATGCCTCAGTGCTCCAGCCTCCCCACACCACCTCCTCCTTCCTCAGAATGACCATAATTCTTCACAGGATGGCAACAGCAGGGCCTTGAACATTATCTGCGTGGCCTATTCCATAACCCCCTTCCCACTCCCCACCACCTCCCCTGACGGAAGGCAAACGTGTGCATGAGGCTGCACGTGTACTGAGCGGTGAATAGAGAGAAGCTGGGGATATTGGCCCTCCAGCCTGCCCAGCCACACACTCTCTGCATCTTTCCTTCGAAAGGCAGACAGCCTGAGACCAAGATGGAGACAAACAGCTTCCCTGAAACTCTTCAAGTAAACAATGCCTCCAAGGCAGGTTTCCTAAATCAAAAGATGCACTTGGGGCTGGGGCTATAGCTCAGTTGGCAGAGTGTTTGCCTCACACGCAGGACAGATGCACCTGTGCTGCTAGCTGCTTCCCCAATTGGTCACTTAACAGAGAAGCAATAATCCACTCTTTGTCTGCCCTGGAGCTGAGTGCTAGGACCAGGGGCAGGATCTGAGTGGGGAAGTGGACATGGTGCCTGCCTCTGTGATAACAGTTCCACAGAAAAAACAAGCAAACAATGATGTCTCAGAGTCATTCCCTCCTGTGGTGTGCACCACAGGAATGAGCCATTCTTGAAGGTTGGGGTGCTTAAAGGAGGCTTAGCAGAGGAGGAGGGGCTGCAATGGGCCTTGAGGAATGGGGTGGGTGCTGCCAGCCAGCCACTGCTCATAGGACCTCTCCTACCACTTCACCAGAGTTGAAATCTGGGCAGATCTTGCCTTATCGTTCTCTACAGTAAGGCACACGGAGAGAGTAGATCTACTGGAGCTGCTGCTTCTGCTTTTAGGCTCTCTCCTGCCTCTGAGCAGTGGTGACAGGATATAGAACTCTCTCAAGGGAGGCAGGGCCTAAGCCAGGGGCAAATCTAGTGTGAGTCTTTCTATTCACAGTATTCTTACCAGGTGAATCTGGCTTAATAGCAGCTTTAAGTTCACCCTTGAAGGGAAAAGATTTTATCAGCAGCATACAGGCTTGGAGGGAATCTCCCTCACTGTGCTGAGTGATGGTGTGTGGCCCAGCAGAGGCAACTTGGAGGTCCCATGAGTCCTTGCTTAGCATCACAGTCCCCCAAAAATGTTTATGAAAACTGGGACAAACATCCCATCTTTCTGCACATTCCAAGCCACACAGCCTCAGCTGCTCAGGGGAAGCATGAGAAAGGGGGCAGGGTGTGGCCCAGGTGCAGGTTACTCTCTGCTTTGGGAACTTACACGCTGAATCCCCCACTCAGCCCAAGGTGTCATTCTTGCTCTAGCATAACTCAGAATAGGGATGGCAGAGGTGGGAACTATCAATGGATAAACAAAAAAATGAACAGCTGAATGCAGGAGCGGGCCACAGGAGGAAGCATGTACAGATGTTCAAAGGCTGGAGGACTTGGGTTATGCTCCCAGTCCTGCTGCTGGCCAGCTGTTTGACCTTGCACAAGTCATTTCCGCCCTCTGGACTCAAACTTCTCATCTGTAAGAATAGGAGTCTAGTCTCCAGCAGCTTTGACTTGTGCTGTTCTCTTCGAAGATTCCCGGGTCCACTCTCTCAGTGTTTCTCAAAGTGCAGTGGGCAGTCCACCAAATACCTGTACTACAATCGCCAGGGCACATTTTTTTTTTTGCCTCAATTCCAGACCTATTGAATTGCGAGTCAGAGGGGCTTCACAGAACTTTTAAAAACTTTTGAGCACTGTGTGTCCTATTGTAAGTTGCCCCATCTCAACCACCTGTTTTCCCTTCCATCCACTGAGTCTGGCACCAATCTCTCCACTCCCTTTTGCGTACTCTACTCCCCCCCAACGCTCCCCAGCAATGACCAGAGCAGCAGCATGAGGCAATCGCTGTATCCTTGACCCTGTCCTCTGCACAGTGAGTGATGGCTTTTTCTTATCTCCTGATGATGAAGCACAACCTTCAGCTGGAGGCATTTAAGGCGCAGAACAAATGGTCCAGGCTGCAGCTGCCGGACGGACCCAGAGGTGGAGGAACAAAAAGCCACCTTTGAGAGCAGAGGTGGCAGCAGCATCAGCACTGCTACATCTGCCAGAAAACAATGCTACTAGCAACTTTCAAACTGTGTGCTGGAAGCTCCTACAGATACATGCGCAACATGAAGGGTGAGTCCCCAGGGGCAGAAGGCATAAGGCGCCTACCAGAAACTCTCAGGCAACTTGGTTTAGTTAGAAAAATAATGGAGAGGGGCATGGAGAGGGAAAAAGACCACCAAGGCTCTGATCCCAGTTGTGCCTCTTACTGAGTGAGACTGGGCAAATTTCTTCCCCCTCTAGACCTGTTGTCCCACCTGAAGAATTGGACTAGATGTCCTGCCCAGATTCTGTAATTTCTAGTTTTCCCTCCAGGGCTCTCATTGTTCTTGAACTACTTTTGTTTTTTCCTTGCTGGTACTAGGCATTGAAGCCAGGGCCTCAAACATGCTAAGCAGTATACTGAATTACATCCTCAGCACCACCCCACCCCACCCCCCCGCTTTTTAATTGAAACTAGGTCTTGCTAAATTGCCCAAGCCAGCCTCAAACTCGCAATTCTTCTGCCTCAGCCTCCCAAACAGCAGGGATTATTGGCGTGCACTTATGCAACTAACTTCAACTATTCCTGACTATGCCTTCCTTCTGGCTTATATCAAGGGTACCAGAAAAGTCTTGGCCACAGTGGTAGAGGCAGAAATAAATCTTGATTCCAGCAAGCAATGTTGGTAAGCCTGAGACTCTATCAGGGAAGGGGCATGAGAAGAAAAAGGGGAGTAAGACAGCAGAAGAGTGAGGTAAAGAGAGAAGTTGGAAGGGATGGGGGAGGTCATGTCAGTCTTGTTATCATTATACAGCCAGGAAGAACGAAACAAACAAAATTAAAAATCCCCTGCTGCCATGGAAAGTCACACAAGCCTATGTAGAGGAGACCTTTCAAATTATCCTGGGTTGAATTAGGTTGGAAACTGCTTAAAAGCCCTGCAGCCCAAAGTGGGGCTGCCCTCACTAAATTGACTGGATTTACCTGGCTCACAATCTGGTGGCACCCAAAGCAGCATCCTCATGAAAAGGGTCCTATCTGCTAGTAAGTACACAGACATCAGATATGAAGGGACCTTTGAATTTTTTTTTTTTCCAAGTACCAGGGATTGAACTCAGGGGCACTCAACCACTGAGCTACATCCCTAGCCCTATTTTGTATTTTGAGACAGGGTCTGAGTTGCTTAGTGCCTTGCTTTTTTTTTTTTTTTTTTAATATTTTTTAGTTGTAGATGGACAGAATACATTTATTTATGTGGTGCTGAGGAGCGAACCTAAGACCTCACGCATGCTAGTTTGAGTGCTCTACCACTGAGCCACAACCCAGCCCCATTAGTGCCTTGCTTTTTGCTGAGGCTGGCTTTGAACTCGAGATCCTCCCGTCTCAGCCTCCTGAGCCACTGGGATTATAGGCGGGAATCACCACACCTGGCCAGGGGATGGGTTTCTTGTATTCTCCTGTAGCTGGATTTTTCTGATTAAACAAATATTCTCCAGATGCTCTGGTATATAGCCCGTCTTGACAAGGCCAAGCTTGACTACCCCAGATGGAAAGTAGATTTCTGGGCCCTGAAGGTGCCTGAAGTATAATTACTGAATTAGGCATTGAAGACCTGGTCCTAGTTCAGTTCTCTACTAGGAATCTGTTTCTGATCAAGTCACTCGATCTCCAAGACAATTTCATTGTCTGTGACAAATGGAGGGTCGGGGTGGAATGATGCCTCCCGAAGGGGCTTTCCAGGTCCTTGGCAACAATTTCCTTCCCTCCCTGTAGGGCTGAGACACCAAGCTGCTCTGGCCATTGGCCAAGAACTGAGGAGAACACTGGGGAACCCTACCCCCAATGTGTGGATTAACCAAGTTCGGCGTCAGAGTTCTCTGCTTGGTAAGTGCTGAGGCTCCTGGGCTTCTGTCAGTGGAAGAGGCCCCCCAAGGTGAAAATGTGCATGGGGCTCTGATGCCCTCCTATCCTTTCCCACTATGAGAGAATATTCCCATCCCAGAGTTCCTCAAGACCAGTTCACCTGCTGGTCACCAGATGGGACCCTCTGGCTTTAGTCTTGGTTCTTCAGTGGAAAAAGCACATCCAGAAATCAAAAGGATGCTAACTTGGTGGGAGGCTGGGACACTGAAAGGATTCTCTCCCCCCCCCCCCCCCCCCCCCCCCGCGCCCTTGGCTGTATATCCAGGTTCTTGTTTGGAAGAGATAAGTGACCAAGAGCTGGCCTATATCCAGCAGGGAGAGGAAGCCATGCAGAAGGCCCTGGGCATTCTCAGCAACCAGGAGGGTTGGAAGAAGGAAACCCAGCAGGTAAGGGTGGTTTTGCAGTTCCTTATTGTTTCACTATAAGTGAAACAATTGTTCACTATTGTTTCACTGGGGCCACCGCTCCCAGGTTTCCTGTTTCATGCAATAGTTACTGGGCAGTAAGTAGTTTTGAGATTTCTCCTTTTCCAAGAATGTCCTTAGATAACTTTCTCTCCTCATAATACTCATTTGTTGAAACATTATCCTTATATTTTTAGCTACCCTCCAAATACATATACACCCATTTAGAAAAACCATGCCGCAGGGACTGGCTGTGCATTAGAGGACATATCACCCAGCATCAGAATCTTTAATGTTAATGAGCTTGCAGGGATAATGTGGGCTGAACTAGCTGTCTGGAGTTCTCTGCTCTGAGCACAGCACCCTAACTGGAAGCCAGTCGGTAACAAGGCTTGTGTTAAAGTCCAGTGGCTCTATCACTGGAGACCTTGGTGGCTTTATCTTCAGCAAAAGCTTACGTGCTGCCCATTACTCAAGGTTCAGGTGAAACCTCTCCTTGCTCAAGTTCTCAGAATAATGTAGATAATAGGCTAATAGATTGGGAGTCAAGAAACCTGGGATCAGGATGGAGTTGTGGCCTAGTGGTAGAGCACTTGCCTGGCATGTGTGAGGCCCTGGGTTTGATCCTTAGCACCGTGTATGAATAAATAAACGAAATACAAGATCCACTTAACTTAAAAAAAAAAAAAAGAAAGAAAAAGAAACCTGGGATCTGCTGGACCCCATGGTACATGCCTATAATCTCAGCAATTCAAGAGGCCAAAGCAGGAGTATTTCAAGTTTGCGGCCAGCCTCAGCACCTTAGCAATACCTCCAGCAATTTAGCAAGACCCGCTCTCAAAATGAGAAGGATTGGGAATGCAACTCAGTGGTAAAGAATTCCTGGGTTCAACACCCGGTACAAGAGGGGGAAAAAAAAAAAAAAAAAAGAAACCTGAGGTCTGGGATCTAGGCTCAGCACTACTCTTAGCAGCTAGGGGTTCACTGACCTCTGGCCCCACATTGTTCTGGTGTGAAAACAAGATACTTAACTTATGAAAAATTGACCACTTCAGTTTTCATCAGGGTTGGTAGATTCAAATATTGGGAAGTCACACTGTCATTGTAAGGATTGAACCATCAGACCACTGAATTTGGTTTCAAATATTTTGAGATTCAAATCTCAGGTATATAATTTGCTATTTAACCATGGGCAACTTTCTTAATCTGTTTTGATATTTACATTCTGTAATGACTAAACCAAGCTAACATCTAAAACAAGATATTGAACTAAAAAATCTGAAAATCCCACTCAAAACTGCATATATATGGCTGGCCATAGACTTTTCCCACTCCTTGGTCTTTCAGGATCTTTGAGCTTCTGAAGTCAATTGGACCTAGACAACATTCACTTCCATCTCAAAAAAAAAAAAAAAGGGTCAACTAATCACTGTGGTGCATACTTATAATTCCAGCAACTAGGGAGGAGAATCACAAGTTAGAAACCTGCCTCAGAAACTTAGCCAGGCCCTAAGCAACTTAAGACCCTGTCTCAAAAAAAAAAAAAAAAAAAAGGATTGGCGGGGTGGGTGCTGAGGTGTGGCTCAACGGTAGAACATTAGCCTAGCACGTGCAAGGCCCTGGGTTTGATCCTTAGTGCTACATAAAAATAAAGGTATTGTGTCCAACTCCGACTTAAAAAAAAAAAAAAAAATAGATGAGGGTGTAGCTTAGTGGTACAGTCCTGGGCTGTTTCCAGTACCAAAAAAGAAGAGGGAAGAGGGCTGCAGGCAGGCAGGCAACCTGTTCCAGCCTTCGGCAGTTGTGTAGTTTGTGGAACCAGGGATTATATCTTTATCCAGGCCAGACAGCAGTCCAGGTAGGTATCCTTGCGCTTAGCTTGGACTTCCTTTTGCTGATCTCCCTTCCTTGCCTGATATAATTTGCGACTTAGGCTCTAACCTCTACCTACTTTCTCTGGCAGGCAAATGGAGACAAAGTGTTGAGTAAGGTGGTTCCAGATGTAGGCAAGGTGTTCCGGCTGGAGGTGATAGTGGACCAACCCATGGAGAGGCTCTATGAAGAACTTGTGGAACGCATGGAAGCAACGGGAGAATGGAATCCAAATGTCAAGGAGATCAAGGTGAGGGAAACCCAGGTGTGGGTGGCAGGGACCTAATAGGGCCCAGTCTGAAATGGGGCCAAAAAGGGTTCCCAAGCTGTGGGTGGTGCTTAGCCTCAGCTCTAGCTAACTAATGATTCTGGTTCCCTTATGGATTGGTAGGTCTTGCAGAAGATTGGAAAAGATACAGTTATTACCCATGAGTTGGCAGCAGAAGCAGCAGGAAACCTCGTGGGGCCCCGTGACTTTGTGAATGTGCGTTGTGCCAAACGCAGAGGCTCTACCTGTGTTCTAGCTGGCATAGCCACACACTTTGGGGAGATGCCTGAGCAGAAAGGTATTATCAGGTAATACTAGCAGTAGCCTCAAAATCCTTTCCTCTGGCTGGGGATGTAGCTTAGTGGGTAGAGTGCTAGTCTGGCAAGCATAAGGCCCTGAGTTGAATCCCCAGCACTGCAAAAACAAACACATCCAAAATTCCTTTCCCTTTTACACAGGCTGATGGGCATTCACTTTAATATGTGATGGTCTGAAACCCCACAATTCCAAGAAACTAATCCTTGGTCCCCAACCTCAATTTCCTTTTATAAGATTTTCAGAGAGAAAAAGACAAGATTGGCCCTATGTCAACAGCTAACCAAACTTTCCGGTCTCTGAACCTTAATATAATATTTTCCAAAGCAAGGGGTAAGACTGAGGTTCAGCTGGTATTCTAAAGTATGTAGGTACTGGAGGTTAAAATATTGAAATAATTCACACCCCAAAGAACACCATAGACACCTGAATTTCTTAATGGTACTACCACCCTGCATTCTTTCCTTGACCTCCCTGCAGTCTAGCAACCAAAGGGCACAATAGGAGGCCTCCAGGTTCTGCTTCAGCTACAACCAACAACTTGTTCTAAAGAGTTAGTAACCACCTCAACTGTTAAGTCAGTACCCTTGGAGAAGGGTATTTCCTGCTAAGAATTAGAAAAAAAGACAAGGTACTCCAGAAATGGGACTAGTATAGTCAGCATAAGAAAGAACTGATCCATCTCCTGACTGACTTTTCATTTACCAGAGCTGAACAAGGTCCCACTTGCATGGTGCTTCATCCGCTGGCTGGAAGTCCCTCCAAGACCAAACTCACCTGGCTGCTCAGTATTGACCTCAAGGTGAGGGGTATGGGAGTTGACTCAGGGCTAGAGATAGTAAGGAAAGTGAGCTCTTCCCACTCTCATATAATAACAGAAAGAAGCCTCTTCCATTTTTGATAGTACAGTTGCTTAGGACGGGACTTGAGTGATGGCCTATATGCTATCCCACCATCTCAAAAATCTGCAGTGGCTGACGCTTATCAAATTTCAATTGTATAGTAACATAATTTTAGAGAGAAGGAAACTTAGGCAGGGCATAGGGCATAGTGACACACACCTATAATCCCAGTAACTCAGGAGGCTGAGTTAAGAGGATTGCAAGTTCAAGGCCAGCCTCAGCAACTTAGTGAGGTCCTAAGCAACTTAGCAAGACCCTGTATCAAAAAAATAAAACTGTTGGGAAGACAGAACTTAATATCTGTCTTGACAGCAAATCCTGTGCTTCTGACACTGTGATGACAATAAGGCAGCAAAGCAGTCCATCCTTTGACCCTGGTCATTTCCAAGGTTACACTTATAGACAAAGTTGGAAGATGAAGTTCCAGGCAGCCCATGTGTGTGATAGAGTGCAAGGTGTCTGGAATAGCACACCACCCAGAAGATGACCAAATTCTCTTTTATCTTCTCCAGGGGTGGCTGCCAAAGAGTATCATCAACCAAGTCTTATCACAGACCCAGATGGATTTTGCCTATCACCTGCGCAAACGACTGGAGTCTACCTCTGCCTCTGAAGCCCGGTGTTAAATACCAGCATGCTGTTCCAGTATGTGTTTCTGCCTTGGCTTGCACACGGATCAGGAAAATTTCTGCTGAAAGTCTGCAAGTCTGTTTAAGATCTTCATCTGGCAATAACAGAGGGGGTGGAAGAGTATAACACTACAACTCAAACTGGTAAAAGTTTTACAAAGCAGCCAGGCGCAGTGACACTTGTCTGTAATCCCAGGGACTTGAAAGGCTGAGGCAGGAGGATCTGAGTTTGAGCAAGCCTCTGCAATTTAGTGAGATCTTATCTCAAAATAAAAAATAAAAGGGTTGGGGAATGTAGCTCAGTGGTTGAGAGCCCATGGGTTTAATGCCCAGGACCACCACCACCAAAAAAAAAAAAAAAAAAAAAATTAGAAATCAGATGAGTCTCTATGATAAAGAATAAACTTCTAACTCTATTTACTGATTAGCTGTGAAAAAAGAAGTTTCCCAAGAAAGATACTTGAGCCCTTATACACACACCTAAAAATATCTGTGAATCCTACTGGCTGGTATGGATGTGGGAGCTGCTAAATTAGGGACTGGTTTTATGGGCTCAAGAACTCCATTCCCTGCAGGTGTGTGTGAACAATGCAGAGCCCTACACATGGGCTCTTTGCTCTTCCACCAACAAGGCACAGGGATACACCAAAGAATAAGCAATTCACCACAGAAGGTATCTTCCAGAAGTATATTCCCAGTTTCCTCAATGGAAAAATATAAAACTAATAATGAGACTGGTTTCCCTACTTATTTCATATGTACCAGTCAGAATAAAGAATCACAACATGAAAACTTCAGTCTGTACTCATTTTAAAGTTCTATTCTATAAAAAGTAGATTACAACTTGATATTATAAGAGTCCAGGACAAAGACTTTAAATTAAACTAAATCTCATTAAAAGGAAAGAAACTACAGGAGATTTAGATAATTTGATAATTTTGTTACCAGAATTTTTCATTAAAATTTAATTTTCATGGAAGAAGGGGTAACATGGTGATAGAAAATTCCCTTTTCCAGGATTTAGAGAAATTACTTTTTTTAATAAATATTTTATTAGTTGTTGGTGGACCTTTATTTATTTATTTTTATGTGGTGCTGAGAATTGAGCCCAGTGCCTCATATATGCCAGGCAAGCACTCTACCAATGAGCCACAACCCAGCCCCAAAGAGAGAAATTATAAACTGAGGGGTTGGGGGTGTAGCTCAGTGGTAGTGTGTTCGTCTAGCATGTGTGAGGCACTGGGTTTGAGGGTTTGATCCTCAGCACCACATAAAAATAAATTAAATAAAGGCATTGTGTCCATCTACAAAAAACAAAACAAAACAAAAAACTGAAATAGGACTATCTTATTACATATAAATAGAGTGAAAAAACCAACCATTACCACCTGAAGCATTTCCATCTAGGTTTAATAGCATGGATGACTTGCACCATCTGGAAATAGAGATTTAGTTTATTTATTAAACAAAATAGCAGCAGTGGGAACACTAGTATTTATTGAGGTATTAAAATTTAACAACTGATATTTATTATAATTTATTCTGATTGTTTCTTAGTCCATTTTTGGCATAGATGAAATTGCTGTTTATCCAGGAGCTTTAAAGAGGGAGGACAATTGTAGAGGAGTATTTCTACAATACAGTCTTTCACCACCAACCAAGAGAAAACAGTTACTTGCTTAAAGATATGCTGAAACAATATGGGCACTGGTTTCAAGAGAATAGATGGACAGTAAAGAAATGAGCTTTCAACAAACACCATGGTTTTAAAATGGATTACAGTTTGTTCTTTCAAACAATGTAACTATGTCTTTGTGATGTCTAGGGAAAGATTTTCCCACTTAAATTTACATTGAAATAAAATAAGTTGTCACTGATATGATTGTGAACTATGTGAAACAAAACAGATGAGAAGTAGTCATTGAAGCCTTCAAATGAACTCATGTTAATTTGAAGACAGGGCCAGTGGTGGTGGTACATGTCAGTAATCCCAGCTACTCAAGAAGCTGAGATGAGAGGATCACAATTTAAAGGTCAGCCTCAGCAGTTCAGACTCTGTCACAAAATAAAAAATGCAAAAGGCTGGGGATGTAATTCAGTGGTAAAGTGCCCGCGCAATCTCAAACCCCAGTACCAAAAAAAAGCAAAAAAAGCATGCACCATGCACACACACACACACACACACCACAAACTCTTTTGAATATGAAGTATTAATAAGAAATTCACTATTTCTATAATCTCCAATTTATGAAAGTCAAATATACAAAAACCTAATCTTAAAATTTAGAAGAGTGGGTGTATAACTTATATATGGTCATATATTACAAAAACTTTACCTCTAGCTTCCTCTAAATAATATCACCCTCAGTTTCTTAGAGTCCTTCAAACTCTGATGATCTAAAAACTTTATAACCAGATCTGTCCTTTTAAGACCAAACTGATAAAATCTGATAGGCTGAGACCCCAGCCTATAACCATACTGACTCTGTGTTAGGTTTCCTGTTAAGATACAGAATGGACAAAACAAAAAACCTGTGTGATTCATTAGAAGACAAATATGTTTAATCAACGTCACTGTGTTAAGATATCAATACTCATTTGAAACTTAGGGAATTTCTTTCTTATTTATTTATTTACAGTACCAGGGATCGAACCCAGGGACACTTCGCCACTGAGCCACATTCCCAGACCTTTTTATTTTGAGACAGAGTCTAAGTTGCTTAGGGTCTCATCAATTTGCTGAGGTTGGCTTTGAACTTGCCATCCTCCTTCCTCAGCCTCCGGAGAGTTGCTAGGATCATAGGTGTGCACCACTGTGCCTGGCAACTTGGGGAATTTCTTAACAGGGAAATAAAAAGATATTCAGAAAAGCAAGAGTCATGATACATGGTGATGCTGTGGCAACATATCACCTATGTCCTAGTGAACAGCTCTATTTGATAATCTAGGTGGAAATTCACATGCATCAGTCTTTGGGAAATCCTGGGAACTACATTTGCTACAACACTGACATGTTTAAAAAGACCGGGTCAGTTGCAGTGGTACATGTCAGTAATCCCAGCTACTCAAGAGGCTGAAATGAGAGGATCACAACTTAAAGGTCAGCCTTAGCAGTTCAGACTCTTGTCACAAAATAAGAAATGTAAAAGGCTGGGGATGTAACTCAGTGATAAAGTGCCCTCGCATTCAAACCCTGGTACCACCACCACCACCACCACCACCACCACCAAAAAAAAAAAAAAAAAAAAAAATACACACACACACACACACACACACACACGGATACCCAAAGGAAGACTCATTCTTATCTTTTAGCTTTAAGGAGTTTAAAAACTGCACTTTTTTAGGAATGAAGATAAGGCAGGAAAAAAACCTGCACATATCAACATCATGTTCAAAAAGTTTGTTTTATGATGGTGCTGGGGACTGAACCCAGGGCCTTGTGCATGTGAGGCAAACACTCTACCACGTGAGTCATATCCCCAGCCCCCAACATCATGTTCAAAAAGAAGAGCTGGAGGGGGGATTTTTACAGACCTTGTAAACTCCTATTCACCCCAAGATTATAATTTTAATAGGACAAAGGGGAGACTTGATTTGGCTGTTGAGAATAGGAGCAGCAATAGAAGAAGGATTGAGATATAAATCAGAAACCCAACTCTTCCTTCCAGTACTGGCTCCCCTTCCTAATATTACCCACATTTCTGACATTGTCACAGAGAGGAACCCAACCTGAAGGGAAGCCAAGTACCTCACAAACCTGGAAACAAGTTTTATTGGGGAATAGTTCTAATTGTGTTAAAGCTGCAGGCAAGTTTATTTCAACATTACAGTTCTAGAGACCCAGGAGTTTCAGAGATCCCAGTATTGAAAAAGTTATTTCAAAATTAATAACCAAACCCACACCAAAAGGAAATAGCTTTTAGATTGGTTTGAAATATACAGCCACTGATTTAAGCTCCTCTCATAAACAGGCTCAACATCTCCATGGAAATCAAGTGGGATGGAGTCAATGCCCACAGGAGGAAATGTCTTAAGTTAGCTACTTGGACAAGATTATTATTTACTCCTTAGAAAAAACAGTAAGGTAGTAAGTCCCAGCTGACAGGGATGTGGAAGAGCACCAGTTTTACAGGGAGCTTGTGGGATCCTGGGGTCACAAGTTGTTTATGGCACACAAAACAAGAAGAGTCACTGGAAGTGGGCAGGGAATGTTGAAGGGTAGGGGTCTCCCGCAGCCTACTCAGCCTTTTAACTTGCTGAAAATAGAGGCTGTGTTCTGTAGCATCTTTGGGAGAATATCTGACAGAAAACAAAAATAAAAACCCTGGTCTTATTCCCCAGAAAGTCTGTGTCTGGAAAAAAAGAAGAATGGTCAAGGTTCCCAGGGGGGACTGCGCCTTCCATCCACTTCTGTCTCCACGTGATATAAGACATCAGCCAGAGTGTGTTCTACCACAGCACCCCAGCCCATGTCACTCATCTGCAGGAGAAATAAGAAAAAGGGTGATTAAAAGAGCCACAGAAAGAAATAAAGATGCTGAGGATGCATGCACACATTTTACTATTACTTACAGGGTGGTAAGTGAGATCCTTTGGAGGATACTTGAAGCATGGTCCAAAGTTAATGGAAACCTGGAGTGAATTTAATTCAATCAGGCATGGAAAATATAAATAAAATATTGGAAAGTTAATATGATATGGCAAATTTTTCACTTTAAATGTATATACTCAGGGTATTAATGGAACAAATGAGATGCATTAGCATTGCTAAAAGTTATCAATATCCAAATTATATAAAAAATTAGGTGAAAACAGCTGGGTGCACTGGAACACACCCATAATCCCAGACACTGGGAAGGTTGAGGCAGGAGGATTGCAAATTTACCTGAGCAACTCTCAGGAACTTGGCAAGGCTCTGTCTCAAAATAAAAAAATGAAAAGGGCAAGAGATACAACTCAGGGGTAAAGTGTCTCTGGATTCAATCTCTAGGACAAAACAAAACAAAACCTAAGATTTCTTTATTTTATCTTCTTCAAGGATAGCTACCCACAAACAAACAAAAAAAGTAGAAATTTCCATGTTAACTTTTAAAACAAACTAGTGCTAATGATCTAATGATAATCTCTTCATGCTGGATCATCTTTTTTTTTTTTTTTTTAAAGTATAATAGCTACTCTAAACTGATTTATGCATGTATAATGGTTTTTGTTTTATTGGGTGAGTACTGGGGTTTTAACCCCGGAGTGCTCTACCAGTAAGCGACATCCCTGCCCTTTTAATATTTTGTTTAGAGATAGGGTTCTCACTAAATTGCTGAAGCTGGCTTTGAACTCAACAATCCTCTTGCCTTAGCCTCCCAAGCTGGTGGGATTACAGACCACAGTGCCTGGCAACTTACATTCTTTACAATGAAAAAGGATCCCACACAGTGTATTCAAAGGAAAAGTAAAGTACACACTAATTGCATGATGTTTATCTACACAAGCAAATACTTCCTAAAACCTCAAGTGTTTTTGGAACAGTTTTTTAATTTTTGTCTTTTGGTGCTGGGGAATGAAACTAGGGCCTCACACATGCTGGGGAAGTGCTCTATCACTGAAAGCTACATCCCCAGTTCTTTTTATTTTCATTTTGAGACAGGGTCTTGCTAAGTTGCTTATAACCTCACTAAGTTGCTGAGGCTGGCCTCGAATTAATGATCCTCCTGCCTCAGCCTCCTGAGTAGCTGGGATTATATGCATCCAGCTCAATGGCTCTATCATCACAACCTATTGAAAATACTTCCCTCAAATTCTGTTCAGAGGATGAACACACAATACATACCGTGCAGCTCTTGTACAGTGAAATGGCTGGAAAGTAAACTCCTTCAAAAATATCTTTGTAAGCCACACCTTGATTGACACCGTTTTTATAAAATATTATCTGAAATAAGAATCATGGTTTTACTTCAGAACTTAAAAAAAAGAACAAACAAAAAAGAATTCACTTGAAGAAGACTTAAGAAGTGCTATTACTGGACTGCCAATAATGTATTCTAAGAATAATATATAGCTTGTATAACAACAATATTTTATATTTATAGAATATTTTAAAACTCAATGTACACATGCGCTACACTTCAGTGGACTTCAGGTTTCTTATTTTTCTGAATTCCTATGCTACATATACCAAACGGTTGTACTTCCTATTCCTCATTATATTGTGCCTGTAAGTAATCTGTCTTCCATGTAAGTCGTTATTTCTCTGAAACATTTCAAGTTCTTTTTTTTTTTAAATTTGAAGTTCTCTTAGAAATCTGTCATAGTCTTCAAATACTCATTTTCTTTGTTCTCTCCTACAATTATCTTGAATATGCTCTCTTAACCACCAGGTATATCTCGTTGTCCTGAGATCTCTTAATGGTTTCGTGTGTGTGTGTACACACATATATACCCAGCCCCCACCACCAAAATAAGTGGAACTGTACTCCTTTATACTACTGTCCCAGGTAGCTTCACAGCATTTTTAATGGAAAAATGTTTGTAGCCCAGAACTTTCTTCCACCTGCTCCCCTTACCCTTTTGATTTTTGGCCCTGAAGGCTGGCCCAGGACTGTGCTAGGACTATGAGTAATCATGTCCCCAATCTGTTACCTAGGAAGGGGAGGCAGAGAGAGTTCTAGAGCATTAGCCTGTGGTGCCTCTGTGTCCCACAGGGAGGTCTCCCCCTCTCCTAGCCCATGTTCCTCTGTACATGATATTTCTGATAAAGAATAAGGACATCTCACTTGCTTCCTTAATTTCCTGTCCTTATCACACCTCTCTTTTCTCTACAGAGTGTTCCTGACAGAACGCTATCACCCCTCTAATAGCTACACCATGGTACCACAGCAAGAGCACAAAGTCAGTAGGCAGGATTGGGCACTTGCTGTGCTGCTGCCTAGATATGTTACCCCCAAATCCCTGTATTCTCCTTTGGGCTTCATCTTTTCACTTTTATCACTAAGGGACAGGTCTCAATCTTCAAGGCCTTATAATTCTTTTTTTAATATTTATTTTTTAGTTTTCGGCGGACACAACATCTTTGTTTGTATGTGGTGCTGAGGATCGAACCCGGGCCGCTCGCATGCTAGGCGAGCGCGCTACCGCTTGAGCCACATCCCCAGCCCAAGGCCTTATAATTCTGATGTTTTTATGACCATGACTCACCTCACTATGGGGTGTCTGCTTTAGGCTCTTCTCTGCTTTATCCACAAAGTCTTTTTCCTCAAAATACAAATAACTTTTGAACTTTATCAAGGCCTTGAAAACCGAGAGGGGGAAAAAAGGCACATTGAAGCATCAGATGCATCATCATGGAGAAAATAAAGTCAGACTCACACAAATAGCACCAACTCCTTGTGCTCTACAACAGAAATTAGAAACATTTGCCATTGAGTTTTGCTAGACATTGAACTACTATGCGTTCATCCATTGAACTACTTGAACTACTATACCAGCCATCCATTTAAAAAAAAAATTTTTTTTAGCTATTGATGGACCTTTATTTTATTCATTTATTTATATGCAGTGCTGAGAATCAAACCCAGTGCCTCACACATGCTGGGTAAGTGCTCTACCACTGAGCCACACCCCTAGCCCCTCCCATCCATCCATTTTTTGTTAAATATTTTCAAAAGAGGCCACTACTAAGAAAATTTGTGAAGAAACAAATACGTTTAAGTACACATTCTCACCACAACAAAAATGCATAAAAGAGCGAGCCTAAATTAATTTATACTGTTTTCCCCAACAATCTCAGTGAAAGAAATAACAATTTTACAGAGCCTGAACTCCTTATTCTATAACATTTTAAGGACCACTTTCTTGCTCCTAGTTTCCTGTTTCTCCCACAGGTGGCCTCTGGGTCACCTCTTTCCAATAGTTGATTTAACTATTCACTCCCAAATATATACATTATTTATTTAATAATTTCTTAGCACATACATGTATTAAGCATGATAAAAAGACTTCATAAATGAGCTGGGTACAGTGGTGCACACCTATAATCCCAGCAACTCAGGAGGCTGAGGCAGGATGATCACAAGTTCAAGACCAGCCTCAACAACTTAGCAAGACTCTGTTTCAAAATAAAAAATAAAAAGGACTGGGATATAGCTCAGTGGTAGAGTACCCCAGGGGGTTCAATGCCCAGTACCAAATAATAAAAAAAAAAAAAATCAAAGCTACATAAGCATATAAAATGAAGAGTATCTCTCTCTCACTATGCCTCACTTGAGTTTCCCATGCAAAAAATTTACAACTCCAACTGGGTGTGGTGGCACACGCCTGTAATCCTAGCAGCTTGGGAGGCTGAGACAGGAGAATCGGGAGTTCAAAGCCAGCCTTAGCAGTGGAGAGGTGCTAAGCAACTCAGAGAGACACTGTCCCTAAATGAAATACAAAAATAGGGCTGGAGATGTGGCTCAGTGGTTGAGTACCAAAAAAAAAAAAAAAAAAAAGATCATTACTCCAGTGTCCTGGTATTACTCTTTCAGAGACTCTAAAGCATATATGATTATCTCCAAAATTAAAAATACAAACACCAAAAATATACACAAGAAAAACACGCAAAGAAACAAGTCATACAATGCAATAATATTGTAAATTTTGTTTTGTTTCTTGAGTTTTTCACACTCAATAGTATACACCAGAGAGCATTTGTCCCTCAGAACATATGTTGCTTTTAAACAGATCTATAGTATTCTATTGAACAGACATATTACAAATTATTTATTCATTAAAATCAAATGTTCATAATATAAATAAAAAAGTGAATAATTTTAATGATTCCTATAGAATCCACCGAGGCTTTTAACTACAGACCAGGAATTAGTGTGGTGGTATACCTTCCAGGGTTCCAGATGGTAAGACGGGAGATGAGAGTCAGTGGTGTAATGCAATTAATAAAATGATATATTGAGCTGCTCATTTTTAGAACAAAGTTAGAGGGCATCTACTACCAAATTTAAAGACTTACTCTAAAGCCATAGTAATTTGGACACTGCAGTACCAGCATAAAATACAATAAATAGATTACTGTAATACAGAGTCTAGAAATAAACCTCTAGTTAATTTCCACTAAAAACACCAAAGAATGGTGCTGGGGTTGTGGGTCAGAGGTAGAGCGGTCACCTAGCATGTGTGAGGTACTGGGTTCGATCCTCAGCACCATATAAAAAATAAAATATTGTGTGTCTATCTATAACGAAAAAATAAATATTAAAAAAACCCACACACCACAGAAATCCAATGAAGAAAGGAAAGAGATTAACAAATGGTGCTGGAATAACTGGATATTCCTATTGGGGGAAAGAAATAACCTTGACTTTCACATTATACATAAAAATGAACTCAAGATAGATTGGTGACCTAAACATAAAAGCATAATGTTTTCAAAGGGTAATATGGGAGAATATTTCGTGACTTGATGGTACCCAAAGATTTGTAGGTCACAGAAAGAAATAGAACTATAAAAGAAAAATCTGAGAAATTAATCTTCATAAAAACAAAAACTTCAGATACCAGTATAAAAATGAAGATACAGACTGGTAAAAAAAATTTTTAAAAATATCATATCTAGGGGCTGGGGATGTGGCTCAAACGGTAGCGCACTCGCCTGGTGTGCATGCGGCCCGGGTTTGATCCTTAGCACCACATACAAACAAAGATGTTGTGTCCGCCAAAAACTAAAAAAAAAATAAATACTAAAATATCACATCCTAGGGCTGGGGTTGTGGCTCAGTGGTAGAGTGCTCGCCTGACACATGTGAGGCCCTGACTTCGATCCTCAGCACCACATAAAAATAAATAAAATAAATGTATTTGTCCAACTACAACTAAAAAGTAAATATTTAAAAAATTAAAAATAAATATTACATCTAGCCAGGCATGGTAGGGTATGCCTATAATCCCAGCTACTTAGATGGTCAAGGCAAGAGGATCACAAATTTGGAGCCAGCCTCAGAAACTTAGTGAGACGTTGTCTTAAAGGGCTGGACACGTGGCTTGGTGCTGGGTTCAATCCTCTAGTAATACAAAACAAAAAATATCTGACAAATGACTACAAACAAATGACTAGATAAATGAATTAAAAAAGAGGCAAACTATTTTTTTTTTAAGAGAAAGAATTTTAATATTTATTTTTTAGTTTTCAGCAGACACAACATCTTTGTTTGTATGTGGTGCTGAGGATCGAACCTGGGCCGCACGCATGCCAGGCGAGCGCGCTACCACTTGAGCCACATCCCAGCCTGAGGCAAACTATTTGAAAAGAAACTTCATGAAAGATAAATGGCCAATAAGCAAAAAGAAAAATGCTAAATATCATTAGTCATCAATGAATTGGTAATTTAAGACACAAGAAGAGGACTGAGGTTGTGGCTCAGAGGTAGAGCACTTGCCTAGCATGAGGCACTGGGTTCAATCCTCAGCTAAATAAATAAATAAATCCTCACCTAAAATAAAATAAAGGTATTATGTCCACCTACAACTAAAAAAATAAAATGTAAAAAAAAAAAAAAAGACACTAGAAGATATATATCCATCAAATTGCTAAAATTAAGATGACAGACAATAATAAATGTCACCACCTAAAATTCTGGGGTTGTGGCTTAGTGGGAAAAGGGCTTGCCCCGCATGTGTGAGGTTTGGTCCCTGGCACCTCATTAAAAAATAAACAAAGTTATTAAAAGAACACACTACATACCTATATTTACATAAACTCAATAGGCAAAAACTAAAGTATGATAGAAAAAAAATTAAAATATTCATTGGATCTATGGGGTTAGGGATGGGAACTAGAAAGGGCAAGATAAAACTTCCTGGAATGTTAGGAGTGTACATTTTTTTCAGCCAGGTGTGGTGGCACACGCCTGTAATCCCAGCAGCTTGGGAGACTGAGACAGGAGGATCTTGAGTTCAAAGCCAACCTCAGCAAAAGTTAGGTGTTAAGCAACTCAGTGAGACCCTGTGTCTAAATAAAATACAAAATAGGGCTAGGGAGATAGCTGCATGGTCCAGTACCCCGGAGTTCAATCCCCAGTACTAAAAAAAAAAAAAGAAAAAAAAGAGAGAATATATATCTTCTTTGTTGTTTGGTTCTGGGGACTGAACCCAGGGTGCTTTACCTTTGAGCCACATCCTGGCCCTTTTTATTTTTTTATCTTGAAATAGGGCCTAGTTAAATTGATGAGAGTGGCCTCAAACTTGGGATCCTTCTTCCTCAGGCTTCTGAGTTGCTGTGATTACATTCATGCATCCCACAACTGGATTATTTTCAGGTACTGAGAATTAAACCCAGGGATGCTTTTCCATTGACTTACATCCCTAGTCCTTTTTTTTTTAAATTATAGATGGACATAATATCTTTATTTTATTTATTTATTTTATGTGGTGGATCAAATTTAATTATTTTATTTGGTGGATTTTTTCTCTTTTTTTAATATATTTATTTATTTATTTTTAGTTTTCGGTGGACACAACATCTTTGTTTGTATGTGGTGCTGAGGATCGAACCCGGGCCGCACGCATGCCAGGCAAGCGCGCTACTGCTTGAGCCACATCCCCAGCCCTTATTTGGTGGATTTTATATGAGGATCGAACCCAGTGCCTCATATGTGAGAGGTAAGCGCTCTGCTACTGAGCCACAATCTCAGCCCCCAAGTCCTTTTTACTCTTGAGAGAGGGTCTTGCTAAAATGCCCAGGCCAGCCTCAAATATACAATCTTCCTGCCTCAGCCTCCCAAATTGGTGGGATTACAGAATTACAGGTTTATACCACCACACCCAGCCAAGAGTTTAAATCTTCATAGGAATTTAGGTCAGACTCAAAACTTAATGAATGTTTACTATGAAATTGTATATTTCATTTCATATAAATGTTATATGTAGTTAATTATATGCATCCTGAAGTACTGAGGGGCAAGTGTACTGATGTTTGCAATTTTCCCTGTCACACACACATACACACACACACACATACATACATACATACATACATAAATGGACAGGGGTGGGTCTGTAGCTCATTGTCAGAGCGCTTACCTAGTGTGTGAGGCCTGGGTTCAATCCTCAGCACTGCATACCAGTAAAATAAAGGCATGCTGCCCATACACAACTATTTAAAAAAAAAAAAAAATACTGGATGGATAGATGGGTGGAAGAAAGAACAGATACACCTTTTTTTTTTTTAATGTATTTTTTAGTTATAGGTAGACACAATATCTTTATTTTATTTTTAATATCTTTATTTTATTTTTATGTGGTGCTAAGGATCGAATCCAGTGCCTCACGCATGGTAGGAGTGCGTTCTATCTCTGAGCCACATCCTAGCCCCTAACTGGAATCATCTGACAGAATGTAGATGATGATATTCAGGTACTGACTCTCAAATTCGTTAAACTTTGTTATTATGTCTGAAAATGCTTATAATAAAATATGTAGGAAAAATATGAAAGTGGTCAGTCACAAGAAAACAGAGGCCACACCTATAGTCACCACTGACACAGATCCTCAAAGCCAGAAATCCATTGCAGGAAGGCAAACTCACCTTATCCTTATAAGTATCAGGCAGTGACTTGGCTGTCTCTGTGTCTTCAGGAAGATTGATATAAAATCCTAGGACATCCCCCTGTCCATAGCCAGAAGAGTAGTGTTTTCCAATAGATTGGTGAAATTTGGTTCCTTTTTTGCTTCTCCAAGAATAACTAAATTTATCATAACCCAGGGGAGCTTGAAGGTTACCTGTCTCAATAAAAAGATATACAGGAAATCAGAGGACTATAAGTGAACTCTGGTTTGCAAAAGGAAAAGATGCTACTCCTTTTTATTTTATATTATTTGTCAATTCTGTAAATTGCTTATAAACTATTTTTCAAAAGTATTCCAGAACTTGCAAATCAGCTAACCCTTCAGAAACTGAATTTTATGATAAACACAGCAGTCTTAAAACTAAGCCAGATAGGTCTAAATCTGTCTATCTGCTGTGATGTCCACAATATGGCCCCAGCTTACCTAGAGGCTGGGACCAACCCAGTCTGGCAGCAGTGTCTGGTGGCATCTCATCCACAGTGATTTCAAAGTACCAGGCACCTTTCCGCACTCCATGAGAAGCCCGAACCATGGAGTAGCCCTTCTCTCCAATCACAGTCAGACGGTCGTCAGAGATTTTTAACTGTGGAGCTGCAGTGATGGACATTAAAACAGAAGCCTTCAACTTATTTTTTGAGGAATTTAGAGACATAGCCCCTACACTCAAGAGGAGACAATAAAAGTCAGGAAAATCAGGTCAGATGTTCAAAATGTTAGTTCAGGAGTCTAAAATCTCAACACAAGATCCAGACAAAAGAGAAAGGAAGAAAATGTTAGGTTGTCTGTCTCTTTTCTTCTTTTTCTGTGCAGGGCTGGGGATCAAACCCAGAGCCTCTTGCATGCCAAGCAAGTGCTCTAACTGTGGGGAGCCATATTCCTAGCCCTTGGTCTTCTAGTTTTTATTAAATGTAATTATATTTAAGATAACAGGTTAAAATTACATTGCATATCCCCTAAAATATAACAAACCAATTGTAATGTGTTTGGATCCTGATTTGAATAAACCATCCTTTAGAAAACTTAACCTTTTTTTAGGTATTGGGAATTGAACCCAGGAATGCTTTACCCCTGAGCCACATCCCAGCCCTTTTTATTTTTTGAGACAAGGTCTTGCTAAATTGCTTAATGCTTTTCTAAGTTGCTGAGGTTGGTCTCAAACTTGTGATCTTCCTACCTCAACCTCCTGAGACATTGGGATTTACAGGTGTGTGCCACCACACCCAGGAAGATTTAACTTTCTAAGGTTTGATGTAGCTCAGTGGCAGAGTATTTGTCTAGCAAAATAAGAAAAAATATAACGCTTTACCTTAAAACAATTTCAGATATTTTTAAAATAGCAGAAGCCAATTGTGATGGTGTATGTCTCTTACTTCGAGCTATCCAAAAGGCTGAGGCAGGATGATAGAAAGTTCAAGGCCATACTCAGCAACTTAGCAAGGCCCTGAGCAACTTCTAAAACCTGTCTCAAAATAAAAATAAAAAGGCAGCTGGGGTTGTGGCTCTGTGGTACAGCGTTTGCCTAGCATGAGTGAGGCACTGAATTCGATTCTCAGCACCACATAAAATAAATGAATAAAATAAAGGCCCATCAGTATCTTAAAAATATATTAATAAATAAATAAATAAAAGGACTAGGGATATAGCTCAGTGGTAAAGTGCCCCTGGGTTCCATCCTCAATAACAAAAACAAACAAACAAACAAATAAATAAAATTAAAAAGAGCTAGAAATGTAGCTCAATGGTAAAGTGCCCCTGGGTTCAATCCCTGACTGCAAAAACAAAAACAAAAAAAGGTTATAAGGAAATAAAGTCTTTCTCTACATGGCTGGTGGGAATGCAAATCAATAAAACTTTCTTTCTCTCTCTTTTTTTTTTTTTTTGCATTACTGGTGATTGATGCCAGGGACTCAGGCATGCTAGGCAAGCACTCTTTCATGGAGCTACAGTCTCAGCCCTTTTAAAAATTTTATTTTGATAAAGGGTTTTGTTGGGTTGCCCAGGTTGGCCTTGAACTTGGGGTCCTCTTGCCTTATCCTTCCTAGTAGCTGGATTTACAAACATGTACCAACACATCAGGCAAGTTTTTTTTTTTTTTTTTTTAAGTACTTCCTTACTTTCCAACATCACAAGATGTTCCTGTTTAATCTTGTATTTTCTTTTTTTTTTTTTTTTAAGAGAGAGAGAGAGAGAGGAGAGAGAGAATTTTTTTTTTTAATATTTATTTTTCAGTTCTCGGCAGACACAACATCTTTGTTTATATGTGGTGCTGAGGATCGAACCCGGGCCGCACGCATGCCAGGCGAGCGCGCTACGGCTTGAACCACATCCCCAGCCCCAATCTTGTATTTTCTGAAACTATTCATATGCATAGTAGAAATAATATAGGTAATTACCTATAACTATTCATCTAAGTCAGTTTTCTATTGTTAGAGAAATAAGTTACCAACAACTGAAGGGGAAAGGCTGGAATGACCCTCTGTTGGTTTGACTGAAATTTCAAGCACCAATATAAATTCAGTACAGCCATTTGTTATGTGCAGGTAAGTATTCATACACATTATTTCCCAATTCTGACCACTGAGGGTATCTAGAAGCATCAACACCCAATAATAGTGAGCATGCTCAGGTATTTGTTACAGCAACATAAAACAGATGAAGATAATAGCTAACACTGAGATATTAATTTGTAAATGTTGTTTTCCAATTAAAGAAAACAAGGCTCTGGGCTGGGGTTGTGTCTCAGAGGAAGTGCATTTGCCTAGCATGTGTGAGGCACTGGGTTCGATTCTCAGCACCACATAAAAATAAAATAAAGGTATTGTGTCCACCTACATATTTTTCAGTAAAGAAAAAAGAAAACAAGGCTCCATGAAGAAGTAGTGATTACTAGGCCTGGGAATAGAAAACACAGATTAGTCAGGAAAATATTGTGAAGTCAGAAAGTAAGCAAGTACTTAAAAACAAAAAAAAAAAAACACGCTTATCTAAAGAACACAAGAAGCTGAATGTTGGTGGCTCACGCCTATAATCCCAGCAGGAGAGGCTGAGGCAAGAACAAGAAGATCAAGAGTTCAAAGCCAGCCTCAGCAATTTAGCGAGGTCCTAAAGCAACTCAGCAATATCGTCTCTAAATAAAATATAAAAAGGGCCAGGGATATGGCTCACTGGTTAAGTACCACTGGGTTCTAAAAAATCCCTGGTACTAAAGAAAAGGACACAAGAATCAACCTGAAGAAACTAAGCTGGAATAATGTAAGCAACAAAATAATCAAAGTATTGGATTATACCCCACACAATAAAATATCTGAGTACATGCTAATATAACCAATTAAACAAATAAAATGAAGAAGGAAAAGAAGAAACAGAAAATCATATGGCAGATATCCACAGAAATAATTATTTCAGACAAGATCCATGGAAAAGTATTAAATTAGTGAAGAAAACTTTATGGAGAAATAGGATATTTGCACAGTCTCAAATTTTCCCCAAGTTATTTATTAATAATAAAAGGAAAGACAGTAAATTTACAGTGGAGAAGTCAACAGAATTATCTTAAGTAAATCACCATAGTCAATATAATCAATAAAAAAAATCAACATCATGAACCACATGAGATAATGCAATGAACAGTAATAATTTCTTTACTCTTCCTCAAATTGCATAACCTCAGTCTCATCATGAGAAAACATCAGACAACCATCATTGAGGAACACTTGATAAAATAACCAATAAAAAGTATCATGGTCATGAAATGTAAGCAAAAGACATTAGTGGTAAAACTTAAATAAGGTCTTTAATTTGGTTAATTAGGTTAAGTATCTCTTTTTATCTAAAATGCCTGGGACCAGAATTGTTTCAGATTTGGGAGATTTTCATATTTGAGAGTATTTGCAAGAACTTTATTTGGTTGAGCATCTGTACTACAAAAATCCTAAATCTAAAATCCAGAACTTTTTTTTTTTTGGTATGCGGTAGTGCTGGGGATTAAACCCAGGGCCTTGTGCATGCAAGGTAGGCACTCTACCAAGTGAGCTACATCCCTAGCCCCTGAAATCCAAAACTTTTTGAGCTTCATGTTGGCAATCAAAACGTTCCAGATTTCAAAGAATTTGGGGTTTTTGGATAAGGGAAGATCAATTTGTAGTATTTACAAATGTTAATTTCCTATTTTGATTAACTGTGCTAGGATTGAATGTTACCATTAGGAGACAGTTGAAAGAGAAATTCTCTGTATCATTTTTTTGCAACTTTAAGTTTAAAAATCAGTTAAAAAATAATTTTTTTTAAAAAAAAAAAGATGTATAAAAAGGCTAGAACTTATTTAAAAAAAAAAAAAGAAAGAAAGAAAAGGACAGAGATGGAAATTATTCCTGTACATCCTGGCTGGGTCTAGTTAAAGATGAGGGGTAGGGTACTGGTAACAAACTGAGATGTGTATTTAATCCTAGACTGGGCAAAGCAGGTGACAGCAGTTCATAGCAGCCCTGAGTTTATATGATCATTAATACCTTACATACCTCGATCATGCAGGGCTAACAAAACCCGTTCATACAAGCAGGCTCTGTAAAGATCTCCAGGAATAGGTTTTCCTGCCCAGCAGTCAAGTTCAAGTTTCTCAGGGTCAGGAGCATGGGGATCAGGCTCAGCTAGAATATACCGATAGCCATCTTTGTTGAAGGGGTGCTCCAGAGGGTAGCCATGAGGGGGAAGACGCTGAGCAGAAAACAAAGGATCACTGCAGAAAGGAAAAATAAAATTTGATGTCACATGCCTGTAATCTCAGGTACTTGTGAGGCTGAGGTAGGAGAACTGAAAGTTCTACACCAGCCTGGGCAACATAGTTACACACCGTATCAAAAAAGAAAAAGAAAGTAAAACTGCTGTAGTTCAACAGCATTCTACTCTGTAATAAAGGCCTCTGGTTTTTTTAGATCTTAGCTGGAACACAGGAATCAAAATTAATTTTCATAACTTAGACCATCCTGCCCTCTGGAGGCAAAATAGGGAAATTAAAGGGATTAGCTTTATTTGGCAAAATGGTTTTGGTTACATTACTTATAATCTATAGGGAATGGCAAGTGATTTGTCAGGGACTGACCACTCCTGGTGATTCTTAACCATAAACTCTTTGTTGTTTACAAAATTTGGCCAGTACTTATTATTAGGGGAGAAAGGGGGAGTGATTTAGTGTGGGTTCCTTCAGTTATTATTATAAACTAATGGACAGAAGCTCAGATATGAGCACTTATTATCTATTGCCAGTCTAAATAAGAAGTGATCTGGATTCTACTGCTTCAACATTAGACAAAGGGAAGGGAAGAGACATGAGAGGTAAGAGGCATAAAGTTAAGGAGTTTGCATTTAGTTGTTTTCATTCCCTCTCCTCCATCCAAGCTTTCTCAAGGTGTCATAAGGGAATGTGATTTCCCAGGCTTATCACCAGAAGATGCTGCCTGGGCTCCCTTTCTGTAGTAACAAGTTCATAAAATAGCATACCTAGTGTGGGATTATTTTGCCCTTCCAAAGTATTCAAGGCTTAAAAAAAAAAAAAAGACAGGTTTTCAGCATTAGACACTTGAGCAATGGAAAATGGTTCCCTATGGTGGACTCTGGCAGCACCAAATATTCAAAAGGTGGTGGGTGGGGCAGTGATCTCCCCACCTCCGGGCCTTCTTGGTAGTCCCTGTAGTTCCTCCATCCTGCTGTTTGCGCTTAGCTCCTCTTCCTTTTCCACTGCTTCCTGCTGCAATTCCCCCTTTGAATAGAAGGCAAGATCACTTTCAACAGAGCTGCAATGGAAGTAGCAATGTGGATAGGGACTGACACACCCAATGTGCATTTGTGTAACACCACAGGAGGATTTCCTTCCTGAAAGCATATTGGCTTTCACGCTCCTTCTGAAACAATCTGCTGAGGTGTCTCACAGCCCAGAACACTGGGTTTTGTCAGTAATCTCAAATGAACCTAGCACTAATGATACCTGTGTTACATCTTCAACCTTCCTTTCTTAAAAAACTGAAAATACTAGTATACTTTGAGGATGTAACACAAATGTATTTGCATTCATTCAGATTCCAAGCACCTACAGCTAAAAAGAATGAAAACAATTGCGTGGATGTTTCCCTCCCCCCTCCCAAATCAATACAAATATCTATAATGAAAATATCCTCACTTTAGGTCAATGTTCACTTGCTTGAACTGCACAATATATTTCATAAACATAATAAAAGCACAATATTTGCTAAAGCACTTAACTTGAGTATCTAAGAAAACAAAAGTACATCAAACATGGAAAACAGAAACAGAAGTACTAAAAAGGTGTTTCTCTCCAGTGCTGCTAGACATTATGATTGTACATGACACAATACGGAGGCTTTAAATTCAGTAGGCAATTTTTAGTTACATACTCATTTGTCAATGTTTCAGATTGCACAAGTACATGGATAAAATTCAGGCTAAACAACTCTGGCTTGTGAAGTTATGGGCAAATAATACTAACAGATAATTTAATTTACTTTATACATATATACACACACACACACACATATGGTTTTGTTTTGGTGGTATTGGGAATTAAAAACAGTGAACCTAGTGAGGGCTCTACCACTGGGCCACACCACCAGCTCTGATAAATTTATATATTTTAAACAAAAAATTCAGCTCTATACTGAGGGCACAAGGAATATTACCTTGTGTATTTCTGAAACAGGTACTTTGGAATTTTGTCCAGTTCTGTAATTTTTGTCCAGTTCTATTATTCCTCTCAATTAGTTTGTTCCCTCTTGCAAAAAATGTCTTTGAACTGCAGGAAAACACCTTTACGTAAACAACTGCATAGAGTACTATATGTAAATTTGGGACAAGCTTGGAAATTATCAGCAGTTCTGCTGCAATAAAAAGAATCAAGACATTGAGGGTAGGTCATATTCTACATACACAGGACCAGACTTAATGCAGAATTTCCTTTTATGAACAAAGTAGATGTTATTCCTATTTCTCATAAAAGGTTAAATGTTAAACTGTTACAATGTCATTATCATCAATCAAAAAAAGCCATTAAGGTTTTTTCCCCTCCTCCTAGTACTGGGGAGTGAATCCAGGGCCTCATGTATGCTAGGCAAGTGCTGGACCACTGAGCTACACCCCTAGCCCTTTTCCTTTAAATTTTTATTTTGAGACAGGGTCTAAGTTGCCCAGGTTGGCCTTGAGCTTGTGATCTTCTTGCCTCAGTCTGACATGTAGCTGGGATTACCAACATACACCACGACACCTGGTTTAAGTTTTTAAAATTGTCATTTCCAGGACTGGGGTTGGGTGTCAGTGGCAGAGTGCTTGCCTAGCATGTGTGAGGCACTGGGTTCAATTCTCAGCACCCCATATAAATAAATAAAATAAAGGTTCATTAACAACTAAAAAATAAAAAAGTAAATAAAATTTAAAACATTGTCATTTCCATTTTAATTTTTTTGGGGGGTGGGGGTACTGGGGATTGAACTCAGGGGTACTTGGCCACTGAGCCACATCCCCAGCCCTATTTTGTATTTTATTTAGAGACAAAGTCTCACTGAGTTGCTTAGCACCTCACTTTTGCTGAGGCTGGCTTTGAACTCATGATTCTCCTGCCTCAGCCTCCTGAGCCTCTGGGATTATAGGTGTGCATCACCACACCTAGCCCATTTCAATTATTTTAAGAAAGAAGTTTTAGATCTATTCTGAACAGAAAGTGTAATACCAAGGGAACTTCTGGCCATGTTATGCAGAATATGACAGCATACAAGCTTGTAATTACTAACATTAAACTGGAACTACTATTTCATATTAAAGTGCTATTGCCACCACTTTCACAATGCTTTAAAATTATTTAGTTTTAGCTTCTACCACAACTCAGCAAAAAGCATTTTCCAAACCACAAAATACTTAAGTCTGAGAGGCTGAAAGAAGACAGAGGAGGAATTCACCTCCCAAAGTGGCTCCACCTGTAAGAACAGAAGTGGCACCATGTATTTGTCAAATTTTAACAAGTAAACAGGAAAACATGGTGTAAAAAGATAAACAACACGCCTAGATATTTCCAACCCATATAATAATTGCAGAAAGGACTAAATATTTAAGATTTCCCATTCCAGAAGACAAGTTATGACACCATGTGTCAGAGAATAGTCTAGCTACCTTCCAGCCACCCTAATTCTCATTAATACCATTAGTAATAAACAGCATTTCCCATTAGATGGGTTACCAAACAAAAAAACCATGCTGAAGCAGGTGATCCATACAGTAGCATTGATATATGAATATATTTATGTTACAGGCAAGAAAAATTAGAAGACCGACACAGGAAGCTTGTTACATAATAGCTAAATTGCGGAAAAAAGAGTGGAGAGCAACTGAATCCTTCTAAATTAAGTGTTAGTTATGAAGATACAGATGGGAAGTCTACTAAAAATGCAGTAAATCTGACCTTTAAATTGTACTTTGAGGTATACTAAATTTGCTTCACATAAGATCAAACTGAGGTAAATTGAAAAAAGTTCTCCTCTATTACCATTTGCAAAATTCTTGTCTAGCTCCTAAAAATTAGATTTTAAGGATCTTAGTAAATACACAGGTTAAGAGAAAACCCAAAGAATGCCCAACTCTAGACACATGTAGATTCAACAGCTTAAAAATATTTCAACAGTAAGACATTTAAACACTTACCATTTAGATTCCCACTGGTAGACACAGTACTACTTTGTTTCTGGTTGTCATAAGCAGGACCAATGTTACTAAGATCCTGAAAGGAAAAATATCTAAATTAAAACAGGAGGCTAATCAAAAGACTACCAACCAAGAAAAAGAAAAGCCCAGGACCGGATGGATATACAGCAGAGTTTTACAAGAACTTTAAAGAAGAACTAATACCAATACTCTACAATCTATTTCAGGAGGTAGAAAAAGAGGGAGAACTTCCAAATTCATTCTATAAGGCCATATCACCCTGATTCCCAAACCAGATAAAGACACCTCAAAGAAAGAAAACTACAGACCAATATCCCTAATGAATTTAGATGCAAAAATCCTCAATAAAATTCTGGCAAATTGGATACAAAAACATATCAAAAAGATCGTGCACCATGATCAAGTAGGATTCATTCCTGAGATGCAAGGCTGGTTAAATATACGGAAATCAATAAACGTTATTCGATAGATGCAGAAAAAGCTTTCGATAAAGTACAGCATCCCTTTATGTTCAAAACACTAGAAAAACTAGGGATAACAGGAACTTACCTCAACATTGTAAAAGCTATATATGCTAAGCCTCAGGCTAGCATCATTCTAAATGGAGAAAAACTGAAGACATTCCCTCTAAAATCTGGAACAAGACAGGGATGCCCTCTCTCACCACTTCTATTCAATATAGTTCTCGAAATACTGGCCAGAGCAATTAGACAGACAAAAGAAATTAAAGGCATTAAGATAGGAAAAGAAGAACTTAAATTATCACTATTTGCGGATGATATGATCCTATACCTAGAAGACACAAAAGGGTCTACAAAGAAACTACTAGAGCTAATAAATGAATTCAGCAAAGTAGCAGGATATAAAATCAACACGCATAAATCAAAGGCATTCCTGTTTATCAGCGACAAATCTTCTGAACTGGAAATGAGGAAAACCACCCCATTCACAATATCCTCAAAAAAAAAAAATAAAATACTTGGGAATCAACCTAACAAAAGAGGTGAAAGATTTATACAATGAAAACTACAGAACCCTAAAGAGAGAAATAGAAGATCTTAGAAGATGGAAAAATATACCCTGTTCATGGATAGGCAGAACTAACATCAAAATGGCGATATTACCAAAAGTTCTCTATAGGTTCAATGCAATGCCAATCAAAATCCCAATGGCATTTCTTGTAGAAACAGATAAAGCAATCATGAAATTCATATGGAAAAATAAAAGACCCAGAATAGCAAAAGCAATTCTAAGCAGGAAGTGTGAATCAGGAGGTATAGCGATACCAGATTTCAAACTGTACTACAGAGCAATAGTAACAAAAACAGCATGGTACTGGTACCAAAACAGGCGGGTGGACGGACCAATGGTACAGAATAGAGGACACAGAAACCAATCCACAAAATTACAACTATCTTATATTCGATAAAGGGGCTAAAAGCCATGCAATGGAGGAAGGATAGCATCTTCAACAAATGGTGCTGGGAAAACTGGAAATCCATATGCAACAAAATGAAACTGAATCCCTTTCTCTCACCATGCACAAAAGTTAACTCAAAATGGATCAAGGAGCTTGATATCAAATCAGAGACTCTGTGTCTGATAGAAGAAAAAGTTGGCTCCGATCTACATATTGTGGGGTCGGGCTCCAAATTCCTTAATAGGACACCCATAGCACAAGAGTTAAAAACAAGAATCAACAAATGGGACTTACTCAAACTAAAAAGTTTTTTCTCAGCAAGAGAAACAATAAGGGGCTGGGGATGTGGCTCAAGCGGTAGCGCGCTCGCTTGGTGTGCGTGCGGCCTGGGTTCGAGCCTCAGCACCACATACAAACAAAGATGTTTGTCTGCCGAAAACTAAAACAATAAATATTAAAAAAAAAAAAAAAAAGAGAGAAACAATAAGAGAGGTAAATAGGGAGCCTACATCCTGGGAACAAATCTTTACCTCTCACACTTCAGATAGAGCCCTAATATCCAGAGTATACAAAGAACTCAAAAAATTAAGCAATAAGAAAACAAATAACCCAATCAACAAATGGGCCAAGGACCTGAACAGACACTTCTCAGAGGAGGATATACATAATCAATCAACAAGTACATGAAAAAAACGCTCACCATCTCTAGCAGTCAGAGAAATGCAAATCAAAATGACCCTAAGATACCATCTCACTCCAGTAAGATTGGCAGCCATTAAGAAGTCAAACAGCAACAAGTGCTGGCGAGGATGTGGGGAAAAGGGTACACTTGTACATTGCTGGTGGCACTGCAAACTGGTGCGGCCAATTTGGAAAGCAGTATGGAGATTCCTGGGAAAGCTGGGAATGGAACCACCATTTTGACCCAGCTATTGCCCTTCTCGGACTATTCCCTGAAGACCTTAAAAGAGCGTTCTGTAGGGATACTGCTACATCGATGTTCATAGCAGCACAATTCACAATAGCTAGACTGTGGAACCAACTTAGATGCCCTTCAATAGATGAATGGATTAAAAAAATGTGGCATTTATACACAATGGAGTATTACTCAGCACTAAAAAATGACAAAATCATGGAATTTGCAGGGAAATGGATGGCATGAGAGCAGATTATGCTAAGTGAAGCTAGCCAATCCCTAAAAAACAAATGCCAAATGTCTTCTTTGATATAAGGAGAACAACTAAAAACAGAGCAGGGAGGAAGCGCATGCGAAAAAGATTAACATTAAACAGGGATGAGAAGTGGGAGGGAAAGGGAGAGAGAAGGGAAATTGCATGGAAATGGAAGAAGACCCTCATTGTTATACAAAATTACATATAAGAGGATGTGAGGGGAAAGGGAAAAAAAAAATCAAGGGAGAGAAATGAATTACAGTAGATGGGGTAGAGAGAGAAGATGGGAGGGGAGGGGAGGGGGGATAGTAGAGGATAGGAAAGGCAGCAGAATACAACAGTCACTAGTATGGCAATATGTAAAAACGTGGATGTGTAACCGATGTGATTCTGCAATCTGTATACGGGGTAAAAATGGGAGTTCATAACCCACTTGAATCAAATGTATGAAATATGATATGTCAAGAGCTTTGTAATGTTTTGAACAACCAATAAAAAACAACAACAACAACAAAACAACAAAAAAAGGAGGCTACATTCAGTAGTAGAGCACTTGCCTAGCATATGCAAGACTCTGGGTTCAATTTCCAGAACAACAAAAAGAGAATAAAAAGAAAAAGGAGGGGCCAGGCATGGTGGCACACATGCCTTTAATTCCAGCAATTTGGGAGGATGGGGCAGGAGGATTGTCAAGTTTGAGGGCAGCCTCAGCAGTTTATTGAGATCCTGTCACAAAATGAAAAATAAAAAAAGACTAGAGATATAGCTCAGTACTAAAGCACCCCTGGGTTCACCCCCTCACCCCGCGCAAAAAAAAAAAAAAGAATGGTGATGAATGGCAATTAACCAATCAACTGGAGTAGAGGTAGAGGGTACATGGCAAATCAGAAAGCCTCTGACTGACTGAGATTGAAATCAGGCCTAGTATGCTCAGATCTTATTTTACAAGAGACAAAACCTGAATTTATGTGAAAACTCAAACTTTCAAAGATAGCAAATAAATCTTTAGTTACAGCTACTAAGAAAATTGAGGTAGAAGGATTTCCTGAGCCCATGAGTGCCAGGCCAACCTGGGCTACATAGCAAAATCCCACTTCAAATCAGACACTTGAAAGTACAGCCCAAAGATCTGACTTACTTAGTTGCCACATGTGATCTCTGCCATTGAACAAAAAGTTAAAATTCTCTTTTTACTGCTATGCTAAACAAACAATATAAATTCTTTTTCACAATAATTTTTTCTTTACAGCATTGTTTTCAAGAGCAAAATCTCAGATAGCAGGAAAATCAGAAATAATTTGGAACCACACATTTATGCAATACATGTGAAGAAATCAAAACGTTAAAAAAGAAAAATGATGCTGCATGTGATGGCACATGCCTGTAATCCCAGTGGCTCAGGAAGCTGAGCAGCAATGGGCGCAGTGCTAAGCAGCTCAGTGACACCCTGTCTCAAAATAATATACAAAAGAAGTCTGGGGATGTGGCTCAGTTGTTGTTGAGTGCCTCTGAGTTCAATCCCCAGTACCAAAAAAAGAAAAAGATGTATCAACAAAGTTTATTTGGCTGGAAATAGTGGCGCATGCCTGTAAACCCCAAAACTTGGGAGGCTGAGGCAGGAGGATCAGGAGTTCAAAGCCAGCCTCAGTAATTTAGCGAGCAACTCAGTTACATCCTATCTCTAAATAAAATACAAAATAGGGCTGGAGATGTGGCTCAGTTGTTGAGTGCCCCCGAGTTCAATCCCTGGTACTCCCAGGAAAAAAAAAAGAAATAAAACAAAAAGGGTGGTGGTTATAGTTCTGTAGTAGAGCACCCCTGGGTTCAATCCCTAGTACCACACATACACACACACACAAAATACCATTTATTTGGAGTCCACATTTATAGGCATATACTGGCAATGTTATGTGGCAAATAAATAAACAAAATCTGATTCCCTACCTATGTGGCTTAAAATTAGAAAGAGAATAAAAAGCATATTTTTTTAAAAATATTTTTTAGTTATACATGGGCACAATATCTTCATTTTGTTTATTTTTATGTGGTGCTGAGGATGAACTCAGGGTCTCGTTCGTGAGAGGCAAGTGCTCTACCACTGAGCCACTTCCCCAGCCCCAAGAAGCATGTTAATGTACCTGATCCAAAAGTCCAAATTTGGGGTAATCTTCTTCGGGGTCTTTACTTCCTGGATCAGGGTGTTCTTTCACCAAGAATACATCTCTTTCTTTACTCTAAAAGAAAACAGGACAGTAGTATTATTAATGGAAACTTTATACTTAAAGTATGGCAGAGGTGATCAATCACCAACTCCAAAAGAAAATAGGTATAGTTCCAAAAGGTAATATTGTTTTTCCCTCTCATTAGAAAATACATGACCATCAAAAAATTCAAACAAAAGAGAAACTTAAAGAGAGCCAATCTTCCCTCCGCCTCACCTATACTTCCACTCCCCAGGGATGAGCACTATCAACAGCTTGCTACTGATTTCTCCCCAGGAGTTCTCTTTAATTTTAGGGACAATGTTTAGAACAAAGTTTTTTGTTTTGTTTCAAATCAAAGAACAAAAATGGTCTCCGATTTTAATATAAATTTATAAAAATACAGTGAACAAAAGGTCTCACTATATGAAATTATTGTCAATATGAATGATATTCACTTAAGACAAAACAGGCAACTCACAAAGTTTACATGAAAAAACTACTAAAATTTACAATTACCTAATCTCATAATTTCAAAAATTTAATATAAAATTACACATTTTCTTAGTAATCACATTATTTCAGTGAGACTAAACAGAATTTGTTACAAAGAACAGTGGTTTTCTAAATGTCAAGTCTAATCAACTTTAGTCTACTTACCATTGTTTTGACAATGTTATTTGGCCAAGTCATTTTCCCAGGTCTCTGTCTGGTTGTCATGCACTCCCAATATTTATCAATAAATGGTATAATATCCTAATTTTTAAAATAAAATATATTAAGACTTTTATAATTGCTTTCAAAGTTATGCTCACAAAACAGAGAAAACAGCATTTTCAAGACCTTCTTAGAATCAAAAGAAACATTCATGTTCAACTTTTTAATCAGCGAACAAATATTTAATTGCTTGGAAACAAGGTATAGATTATGAAATTTCAAACAAGTATACACAAATCTTAGTTATTAAGGCTTATAATCCAGTTGGAGGGGAAAATTCTGACATATTACCTTGATTATCAAAGGGAAAATGCCTCCCAAATTATTGTCTCCTGAGCTCTTATTTATTTGGTACTGGGATTGAGCCCAGGGGTGCTTAACCATTGAGCCACATCCCCAGCCCCTTTTATATTTTGAGATAGGGTCTCCCCAAGTTGCTCAGAACTTGCTAAATTGCTGAGGCTAGCTTTGAACTCATAATTCTACTATCTCAGCCTCCGGAGTCACTGGGATTATAGGTGTGCACCCCCCCACCCAGCTTGAGCTCCTATTTCTTCTACTTACTTGAGACATCTTCTGGACATCAAAACTTTTTGGAACTAAAATATGCAACTCTGTATATTACCTCAAAAATATGCAAAGCAGAATCTATCTTTGCTCTTAATACCTATCATAAATAACTCAGAAAAAAACTTTGACACCCTAAAGATATCCTTGTCTCTTCTTTCACAACCCCCACATCTAAAGTCACCAAATAAAATTTTAAATTTCAGAAACTTCACACCAATCAGACCTCCCTCCTTTCCATCCCTAGTAAAAGTACAGTATAAAGATCTGATTAAGATTCTTTGTGGTACTAATGACTGAACTCAGTTCAATTACAATTACAAGATGGATCAGGTGATCCATCACTAAACTACATCTCCAGCCTCTCTTATTTTTTATTGAGACAGGGTCTCACCAAGTTGCTTAGGGTCTTGCTAAATTGCCAAGGCTGGCCTTGAACTTGCAATCCTCTTGCTTCAGTCCCCAGAGTCTCTGGGTTACAGGAATGCGCAATCACACCCAGTTCTAGATTTGATTTTCTCAGTTGCTAAATGTGATCTTACTTATGTGGCGCCAAACAATATCTGACCTTAATCTGCTATCAAATTTTCCCCATATTAGAGTACCTTCAAAGTCTCACACTATCAGCTAACACATGAAAACATATCTTCAAAGGCTGAATCAGAGAAAGTCCAAGGGAAGCCTGAAATAGTATATATATTGCTCCCAAATGTAAGAATTCAAAAGTTGATTAGGAGGGACTGGGTTTGAGGCTCAGTGGTAGAGCACTTGCCTAGCATGTGTGAGGCACTGGGTTCAATCCTTAGCACCTATAATCCCAGTGGCCTGGGAGGATGAGGCTGGAGGATCACAAGTTCAAAGCCGCCCTCAACAATTTAGCTTGACTATCACAAAATTAAAAAAAAAAAAAAGGTCTGGGACTGTTAAGTACCCCTGGGTTCAATCCCTTGTAGAAAGAAAAAGAACAAACAAACCAAACAACCAACCAACCAATCTGATGGGGATATGTCAAAAAGTTTCAGTAGTCAGTGTGATAAAGCTACATTGATCAAATCTGGGATAATGTATAAGAAATCTAATAACAGACTACAATACAGTCCTGTGTTATTGTTCCTGACAATTGTGCCATGAACCAAACAATATAAGATTAAGTCAAGCATAAGAGAAAATGAGGCAATTAATGGGCTAGGTAGGCATCAGAAGCATGAGGTTGCTGTCAGTTTACACAACATACTGTTTTACAATCTACTTTTTGAGGAGGCTGGGGGCAGTACTAGGGATTAAACCCAGGACTTTGTGCATGCTAGGCAAGCACTCTACTTGAGCTACATCTCCATCCCAAAATAGTGGTATACTCTAAAATAACGATAAAATCTGGGCATTGTGGCTATAATCTCAGCTACTTGGAAAGCTGAGCAAAGAGGATTGCAAGTTCAAGGCCAAACTTGACAATGTAGCAAAACCTTACCTCAAAAAGGGTTGGGGATGTAGCTCATGGGTAGTGCACCCCTGGGTTCAATCCCCAGTGTCATAATAAATCAATGAATTAAGATAAATTATGATAAAAACTATAATAAATACATAAATCAGTAACAGTGATTTATTATCAAGTATTATGTACTGTACATAACTGTGCTATACTTCTATATAACTGGCAACATAGTTATATATGATATATATATCATTTTTGTTACTATGATCACTATATTTGTTTACACGAGTATCACCACAAACAATTGTCTAGATGCTTCAAAATTTTAAATGTCAAAGTAGACACTTTACATTGTTCATCAAAAGTAAAATAAATGGGTAAAGAACTTGTTTTAGATAAAAGACAAACATATTATAAGGTGTATTCTTTTTTTATTTTTTAATTTATTTTTTAGCTTTAGGTGGACACAATATCTTTATTTTACTTTTATAAATAAAAATGGTGCTGAGGATCGAACCCAGTGACTCCTGCATGCCAGGTGAGTACTACTTGAGCCATATCCCCAGCCCCAAGGTGTGATCTTAATTGGATCCTGGATAGAGGAAACTGTGAAGGATATTAAGCAACAATAATATAGAGACATTCACATAATCACCTCCTGATTTGATATACTGAAAAACACATTTCCTCTGTAACATTCTGGTCTAAAATATTTAACCTGGCGGGCATGGTGGCACACGTCAATAATCCTAGCAGCTCAGGAGGCTGAGACAGGAGGATTTTGAGCTCAAAGCCAGCCTCAGCAAAAGCAAGGCGCTAAACAACTCAGTGAAACACTGTCTTTATTAAAAATACAAAATTGGGCTGGGGTTGTAGCTCAGTGGTTGAGTGCTCCTGAGTTCAATCCCTGGTACCAAAAAATAAATAAATAAAAACAACCTGAAGCCAACCATGAGGAAATATCAGATAAATGTAGACTGAGGAATATCATACCAAATAATTATCTAGACCCTTCAAAATTTTAAATGTCAGAGCAGACACCTCCCCACTGTCTGTCAAAAGTTAAATAAACTGGTAAAGGATCTCTTCTTAGATTAAAGATAAAAAATAATTATAACTAAATGGAAGGTGAGATCCCTGGAGAGAGGAAACAAAGACGAATATTAAGAAAACAATAATGTTGAGAAACATGAATAAGATTAGATAATATTACTGCATCATCAACATTATTATTTTTTTACTATGATCACTATATTGTACTTTTACAACAGAATACTGGGTAAGCATAATAGCTATAATTTTGCCTCATATAGCTTAGGGGGAAAATATAGATATGGAGAGAAAAAGCAATGTGGCAAAATATTAACAAAGGTTAATGTCCCCGAGTTCAATCTCCAGTACCAAAAAACACCACAAAAGCCAAATTAGGCAGAGAAGATTTACCTCAGACCTGATTATTATGGAATAGACAGCTGTTTGTTTCTGTAAGGCAACCAAAAGTATTTAAGTATTCACAATACTAATAGTCAAGCCAAGTAGCATATACTAAGAAATTAGTAAATGATATAAAATAAAAAACAAGGTAACAACTGAATTTATATAGTCTTACTCATAAAAACTGGCTAGAAAGTACTTATTGTTAAAGAGTGTTAGAAGTCCCATCTGAATCTATGGCATAATTGCAATCATGTTAATCCATTTCTACCTTATCTTTGGAGAACATTGTTTTTGGATGTTCATCCTGTGTTCGAGACTGCCATGTTAGGTTGGCCAAAGCACTAAGGCACATTTCCTTTAAATCTATAAAAAACAAAAAGGAAAAAAGCTATCTATAAAATTACATTTCTGTCACCAAGGGAATACTCAACAAAATGGTTCACAAGATACAATCAGAGTTAGAGCAGCTTTAAAAAGCAGAATTATTATTTGATCTAAAATGGGTGACAGCAATTATTCAGACCTAAACCACAACTGGATTCTACCAGCTATGATGTAAAGGTCTTCTGAGTCTGCTAAGCCCAGACCCCTTTTCTTTTACAGTGAACAATCATTTTGAAATACTCTAGAGTTGTTCTTACTTGCTTGCTTCCGGAGGAAATAAGTATTTCCACTATGATGGCACACGTTGCAATGGAAACTGTAGTTGGTCATGAAAGGGAGACAGGATCTGTGGATTAGCCAAATTATACACATCAGTGAACTTCTGAACACACATTTCTTTATGAGACGTAAATCAATATGAATTCTTTCTCCTTGGTGCAGTTATATAAAAATATTAATATATTAATTGCTCTTAAAAATGTAAAATGGCCAGGTGAGGTGGTGCACAATTGTAATCCCAGAACTTGGAAGGCTGAGCAGAAAGATTAAAAGTTCAAGGCCAGCCTCAGCCACTTAGCAAGATCCTGCCTCAAAATTTAAAAAATATAAAAAGGACTGGGGAAGTACCTCAGTGATAAAGTGCCCCTGGGTTACATCCCCAGTCACAACAAACAAACAACAGCAATTAAAAAAAAAATGCAAAGTAATAATCGACAAAGAAATGAGGATTGTATTTTCTACAAATATCAGGAAAAATAAATAAAACATTATCTACCACAGTGGACAATGCAGCACCTAAAAATTCTAACTGGCACCTTGTCCATGTTAGATATCTTTTTTTGAGCACATCAAGAGTTCACCAGACCAGCTGCAGAAGACAAAGTAGTCTAAGACATAGTTCTTTAAAGTGTCAATAACATCACTGGAAAGGGCAGACAGAATTATGAAAAGATTTTTCAGGCAGACAACAATCACAAAACATCTGCTTAATTACCAGTTGAATTCTACATATGATAATATAGTCCATAAGAGTTCGAAGGACCCAAGTAGTACACTCAGGTTTAGGAATTAGAAAAATTTGTCAAGGACGGTTTAAGAACTGAATTTGAAAAGATGAGTGATTTTTGGACAGATGAACTACAGGTAGGGATGAGAAAATTCAAGTTAGGAGGAGGGGGCAAAGGGGCATAAAGAAGTCTGTTTAGGACAGGATGTGTCCAGGATATGATAAAAAATAAATAAAAAAAAAAAAGGCATGAGCAATTCTCAAAAACAAAACTCTGGAACCAGCCTAGGTGTCCCTCAAAGGATAATGGAAAAAGAAAATGTGGTATGTGTATATAATGGAGCTTTATTCAGCCATAAATAAAAACTAAATTGTTGGGCATGGTTGATACATGCCTGTAATCCCAACGGCTCTGGCAGCGGAGGCAGGAGAATTGTAAATTCAAAACCAGCTTTAGCAATTTAGTTGAGACCTTTTCTCAAAAAATTAAAAAGGACTGAGCATGTGTCTCAGTGGCCAAGTGCCCCTGGGTTCAATCACTAGTACCCAAAATTTTAAACATTAAAAAAGAAAGAAAGAAAGAAAAAAAAAGAAAGGAAGAAAGAAAGAAAGAAAGAGAGAGAACTAGATCATTTGCAGAAAAACAGATGGAACTTGAGGAGAATGTTATGTTAAGTGAAATAAGCCAAACTTGCCAGGTGTTACCACACCTATAATCCCATGTAAATGCACACACATAATCCCAGCAGCTCTGGAGGCTAAGGCAGGAGGATCCAGAACTCAAAGCCAACCTCAGCAATTTAGGGAGGCACTAAGCAACTCAGTGAGACCCTGTTTCTAAATAAAATATAAAAAAGGGCTGGGGATGTGGCTCAGTGGTTGAGTGCCCCTGGGTTTAATCCCAGGTACAAAAAAAAAAAAAAAAAGAATCCTAAAAGCTGAGTTTGCTGGCAGAAGGCCTGCCTCTTTGAAGGCAGAGAATAAGAAGGTAGTGGGAGGAGAAAGACTGAATGTGGTAGAGATGTTGGTTTTGGAAATTACAGTGGGACAATGGGAAGGAAAGACTGAATATGACAGAGATATAGGAGATAACAGGGGAAACAGATGCACTAAAGAAAGGAAGTGAGTGGTAATTGTACTGGATGACTGGAAAAGCTGAGCAAAGAGAGAGCTGGGTGGTTGTTTTTGCAGTACCAGGAATTAAACCTAGAGCCTTGGGTATGCTATGCAAGTGCTCTACCATTGCGCTATATCCGGAGCCCCTAGAAGCTTAGTCTCACAAAGTAAAAGGAACAAAACAAAAGACCTTTAGTAAAAATGGTTTAAGTTGAAACATAATGTCACATTTACCTTGAACTCAAGCTAATTTAGGGTTTCCCCTAAAAAAAGAAGGTTCCCAAATATGTGCTATTTACCAGATACCACTCAAGAAATTTAAGATTTTTTTTTTTTTTTGGTACTGAAGACCAAAACCAGAGTACTCTACCACTGAGTTATGTCCCCACCTCTTTTTATTTTTTGAGACTGATTCTCACTAAATTGCCCAGGCCATCTCAAACTTCTGATCCTCCCACCTTAGCCTCCTGAGTCACTGGGATTACAGGCCTAGAACTTCAATTAAGCATTATGATAAACTCAATTATAGAAGGCATAGCTTCACACTAAAGATACATAGTTATTTTAAAACAAAAACAATTAGGTTTCAGAGAAACTTTTTTTTTTTTCATATCCTGTTAGCTTATATTCTCTCTGGCATAAAGATAATCCATCCCATGTAGGTGGCTTTAGGTATGATTTCTCAAATTCAGGTACAAAGTAGTCTCTCCAAAGTTACCAGAACTTTGAACTGTGGTTTGATTCATTCTTGGTTTGCTCCTACTTATCCCTCCAGTAAATTTCCATTACTAGGCTCTGAGGCCTTTCTAACTAGCCAGACTTGCTGAAGCTGTGTGTTTTCCCTAGTGATCTTTTAACTAAGATCAACTCTTCCTCATCTCTCAGTATTTTTCTTTCTTTTTTAAACACTCTATCTTAGGTCACCACTCACATGTTAATTGTACATTAGCATTTCTAAAACTCACTTTAACTTTTTTAACAGTCAAGCATACAATAAATTATAAAAGAAGGTATTTTTCAGAACATTTAAGGGGAATCAACTAAAGAAAAATGTAGCCTTCTTATTTTGAGATAGAATTATTTAAATTTATTAGCAATAATATGGGCCATAAAAAATATTACTGAGGGCTGGGAAAGTGACTCAGGGTGCTTGCCTGGCACGTGTGAGACCCTGGGTTCAATCCCCAGTGCAGCAAAATAAAAAACAACAACCAAAAAAAAACTTTTACTGAGAGCCAGTAACAGTGAGTCAGTAATGCTCACCTGCTAGCTGTTGATCAAGTCCCCAGAATAAGAAGCCTTTCATTCTCCCCCTTTTATATCAATCATAATATGATTTTAATTCATTAGAAGAGGTGCATGTCTAGATACAGGTTTTGCTGAGGAGACAGCACAAGATACCCAAAGGAATGAGTTAGAAGTAAAAAGGCTGGCTCAGGCATGAAAAGCACTGACCATCTCAGAGAGAGAGAGAGAGAGAGAGAGAGAGAGAGAGAGAGAGAGAGAGTGTTTGCTGGGTATCAAACAAAGGTCCTGTGCATTTTAAGCATGCATTCTTCACTGAGGTACATTCCCAGTTCCTCAATTTTTTGACAATGGGCTTTATCCACCATATACACCAAATCCTTTCTAAAAAATCCAAAACACCCAATACAAGGCTTAAATGATACTGTCTCATATTTGCTTATATAATACTTTCCAACTGCAAAATTTTATTTCTCAATCAAATTGTAAGCCCCAAATCAAGAGACAAAATCCACTGGCATGCCCTCAATAAGTAGAAGATATGCTAAGGGAATTAAAACAATTCCTTATTCAATATCCTATTCACTATATAGGGGTTAGGAGACAGGAAATATATGCATTTATTTTGCCTACAAACTATCCAACTATTGAACATGCTGAGATTTACTTTAGAAATAAATTCTTACAAGAGTAAAAGTACTCACGAAGTATCTATGCCAAAGGTGTCTGCTGTGAACCATTTTGTACATATCCCACACTGCAATTCCACCTCTCCCAACTGTCGGCAGTTTTCTTCATCCACGGACCCTGCCTGAGTATCCATCACCTCTGAAGTATCCCCAGCACCTTCCTGTGAAATCAGAACAATTAGAATCAAATTAAGTTGGCTTGACTGCATTTTTGGTTCACTTAAAAATTTAAAAACAGGGGCTGTGGATGTAGTCCAGTGGCACAGTACTTGTGTTGTAAGCACAAAGCCCTGGGTTCAATCCTCAGCACCACAAAACAAAACAAAATTTATTTTGCCTCGCAAACATCCAGAAAGAAATACTTACTAGTGTATCTTTTCCATTAGAGGATTCTGTCTCCAAACCACCACTTACATCAACCAAGTTTGCATCCCTGTAAGATAATGAACGCACTCAAGTAAGAATTTTCAAGAGAAACAAACCTCACAATGCCAAGTCCCAAAGATGATCATCAAAACATGGCTGAGCTGGGTGCGGTGGCGCACGCCTGTAACCCCAGCGGCTAGAGGCTGAAACTGAAGGATCGCAAGTTCAAAGCCAGCCTCAGCAATTTAGCGAGGCGCTAAGCAACTCAGCGAGACCTCTTCTCTAAATAAAATACAAAAAAGGGCTGGGGATGTGATTCAGTTAAAGCGCCTCTGGGTTCAATCCCCGTTACAAAATAAAAGAAAATACAGTTAAACTGGATCTGGACTGGATGCCCAGGATTACTATTAGGATACTAGGAAGAATGTGGTCAAGACAGACGAAGGTTCTTAGAATACTGAGACGTCTACTCGGGCAACCCAATTAGACAAGTCTGGATGAGCTGGTCCTAGGTGAGATTCACAGAGATGCAATTCTCCCACTCTGTTGCCGAAAGGACCGTTACTTTTCCCAGTCTGGCACTGCAAAGTGATTTCCTTCCTGGAGTATTTGAGGATCTCCTGCAGGAAAAGAGAGCTAACAGCCTTCTATGGGGTACGGAGCCAAAGACAGGACAAGGTGCTCGGCTCTTACCTAACGAGAAAGGTGAGCAAAGGGGCGTGGCCTTAAATAGAGTTCGGAAAGGAAGCGCCAAGCCGAGGGCGGGATTACCCTCGTAGAGGGGGCAGGGAAAGTCGAGCCGTTGGCCTCAAGGTCCAGGTTCTGAGAGCGCGGGTAGGAGAGTTCCCGGGAGCCGCGGGATTGCGAGAGAATTCTGTGTCCTCAGGCCGCAGGACGCCTTACCCGCTTTCAGCCTCTCCAGAACTAGGCTCAGTCGCCGGAGCAGCAGACGTCCCCTCTCCGGCCGGAGTGGCTGCTACCGCTGTCACCGGTTTCGTTTCTCCCTCTTCTGCCGTTATTGCATTTGCTGCCGCTACAGGGCCAGGTCCGGAACCCGCTCCCGGGCCGGGTCCGGTTCCCGCCGCCGCCATTACTGCCGCCTCCCAGTCTTCTCGCGAGAACACTTCCGCCGTATCGCGCGAGCTGCTGCCTGGTTCTGTACTCTTCAAGTAGTAAAGCCCACTGGGAGGTCCACCACTTGCCAGAGGACTATGCAGTCCAGACCTAGCCGCTTTAAGGACAGGCGGGCGGGGCCGCGGCCCCTGCGGTTGTCGCTGTTAGCGCCAAGTGAAGGCGGAGGAGGCTCGTTAGTGTGGTTAATAATAATATTTACTGCATTTCAGGGATGAATGCTGCGTGGCTAAGACTGGACGTCACAATGCAGAGGAGGTGCCAGCTTGTAAATGCTGCTCGCCATTTAATGTGTGAGGACGAGCGCTCACTGCCCGGGCCTAGTGTACTTTGTTGTACTGCCTAGTGGTCTGCCACTTTGAGCACGTTTCCAGATGACCTTTAGAGCTGGGATTATAGAGACTAATTGCAGAGCCCAAGCGAGAGTGAGTGTAGTGTCCAGGCGGGAGAGACCAGGCGTAATGTGTGCACTAGAGGTTCCAAGCAGCTTATTGTGAAAAGAGGAAAACGAAGGCCCGGACTCAGGGAGCCCGGTAGTAGAGGTCTTCGTTTAGAAAAGTTTGGTGCTTAGCGGGGAGTGGGTGGGGGACGGACTCAAGAATTTGATAAATCATTGTCAGTAGCTGGTAGTTGAGATCACTGGAGTGAATAGAAGCGCATTCGGAGTCAAGTCTCCAAACTCGAGGTTATAGACCTCTAGGAATATTGGGGCCAGAGTTTTCAGGAAAACAGAGTTTAGATAGATCCCATTTTCTTAAAAAGTTGTCAAAGGATACACTGTCCTCTCACTTTACAGAAAAAGACCTGCTGGGCACGATGGTACACACCTGTAATCACAACTACTCAAGAGACTGAAGTAGAAGCATAGCAAGTTCAAGAGCAGCCTGGGAACTTTATACTAGACCCTTTCTCAAAAAGGGGGGGGCGGGGCTGGGCAGGGCTAGGGAGGGAACTCAGTGGTTGAGTGGGTAGAATGCTCTTGGGCTCAATCCCAATACAAGGGAGGCTCCAAGGCAGACCCAGTTAGTAGTCTACACTGGAGATAGTAAAGTGGTCTTAATGTCTTTACCAAGACTTCTCAGTGTGTCCAGAATAGGTTGTTCTCCAGCCTGGCACGGTGGCAACGCCTGTAATCCCAGTGGCTCCAGAGGCTGAGGGAGGAGGATCAGGAGTTCAAAGCCAGCCTCAGCAAAAAGCAAGGCATTAGGCAACTCAGTGAGACCTTGTCTCTAAATAAAATACAAAACAGGGCTGGGGATGTGGCTCAGTGGTTGAGTGTCCCTGAGTTCAATTCCTCAGTACCAAAAACAAAAAAACAGAATAGATTGTTCCTGGAATAGGTTGTGCCCCAAAGGAAGATGCCTGCCTTGCATTCTTGCCCATCTGTTCCCCTACAATGCCCACATTCTGCTGCTGGATGTGACTTATGTAAACTGAGCCCATCTTCTCTCCTTACCAGCAGGGTGTCCAGTTGCCATCCAGATCCTTGGTGTCCTGAACAATGAATTCAGCAGGCACACAAGTAACAAGCAAAGTACAGATTTATTGATGGTGAAAATGGAAGTTGCCCTCAGCCAAGTCAGAGAGAGGCTCGAGGCCTGGATGTCTGGAAATTAGTGTTTTGAATACTGACCTGTGAGGCAGTCTCTTCACTTTATGGACCTGATTGAAGACTTTACCCCATTTGCCCCCATTGGTTACTTTATGATACCTGATTAGGATATTGTCCAGTCCACCCCACCATTGGTTACTTTAGAAAACCTAATTAGAATAATGTCCAATTTACTTCCATTGGTCATTTTAAAATACCAAAACTATGGCAGTTGTTGTTATGGTGATAAGCAGTCAATGGTAGGAGTTGTCATGGTAATGTGACTTACTCTAAACAAGGATATGACTTTTCTCCCTGTCTTGTCATCCAGTGGCATCCTTCTTATATCTGCCTCCACCATCTTGGTGTCCCTGAACTCCTACCTAACATAACACCCTCACTTTCCCTTGGGCCTCTCCTGACTCAAGCATACTTCTCCTTGAAGGGTGCATGCAAAGGTTAGCAAAGCACCAGGATGAAGTTTATAAAATTGCTGTTCCCATTCCAAAGAAAGGGAAAGCATTTCACAATAGAATTGGGGAAGTTTGAATGCTTGTACTCAGGCACATGTCAGCAGTCTGTGAACTAATACTAGAGATGATTGTTTTTCTTTCTTTACTTTTTTTTTTTTTTTGGTACTGGGGATTGAATCCAAAGGCTTTTTACCATTGAGCTATTATTCTTGCCCCCCCTTTTTTTGGGGGGGTACTGGGGATTGAACTCAGAGGCACTCAACAACTGAGCCACATCCCCAAATGTTAGGACAAACAACAGGAGACAGGAAGCAAACCTCGAATCAGCACGCTTTTCTTTATTCAGTATTTAGCAATGTAGTCAATTGGCAGAACACTGGTGTAGCTCATTTTGGGGGCAAAAAATGGCAGCAGGTTGAAGCAAGGGTCTAGATTTTATAGGCTTTATTTAGGGTATGACAGGAAGATAGTTCCTGGGCTTCATTGTATTGGGGTCCATTGATTCATTAGGGTGCAACAGGAATGTGGATAAGGAATTTCCTGGGGCTTTATTCTATTGTTGGTCAGGTGACTCATTAGGGTGAGGAGTCAAGTGCCAGTCAGGTGAAAGTTCTTTGTGTTTCTTCCCTCTGGCTGCCACCTGGAATTTTAAATGACAAAATGGGAAAGGGAAAATGTCCTTGGACTTTTTTCCATACCATTCATCAGCCCTGTTTTGTATTTTATTTAGAGACAGGGTCACACCATGTTGTTACCACCTCGCTGTTGCTGAGGCTACCTTTGAACCCCGGAACCCCCACCTCAGCCTCCCCAGCTGCTGGGATTACAGGTGTGCGCCACTGTGCCCAAAGCCCCTTTTTTATTTTGAGACAGGGACTCACCAAGTTGCTGAGGCTGGTCTCAGTTTGTGATCCTGTTGCCTCATCCTCCAGAGTCTCTGGGATTACAGGTGTGTGCCGCCAGCTGACTACTCTAGATGATTTTAAATCCAGCTCTGAGCAGTGGCTCAATATCAACCTGGAGGCAAATAACAGACATCTTAGGGTCTACTTGGGCCTTTGTCTTTCTCATCCTTCCCTCTCTCCACAGGTACCAGGCAGGAAGAGTGGCGTTTGCTTGCTGGACAGTCTCTTCAGCAAGGCATTCCTGTCTCCAGTGCTCAAACTCATAGTATGGTGATGCACTGCCACAGGGTGTAAGAGCCTCTGGGGCAACTGACACAACAGCTGAAATATATAGTTATTTTAATTTCTCAATCGGTTCTCTATGATTTGTTTTCAACCAAATGGAAGGAGGATCTAATTAAATTACTAGCTAATTACTTAAAAGTTCATATTGAAAAATGCTAAAATCAGTAGGGATACTTCAAGGAGGAACATAATAATTGCTCAAAGCATCTTCCTCATTTAGTAGTTATTGTAGTAATTTTAAAATGGCCACACGTTGTTTTTTTTTACCAATACCATATTTGAACATTTTCATGGGGTACATTCTGACAATTTGATATATATAAGCAATACATAATGGTCAAGGTCTGGGAATGTGGCTCAAGCAGTAGCGCGCTTGCCTGGCATGCGTGCGGCCTGGGTTCGATCCTCAGCACCACATACAAATAAAGATGCTGTGTCCACCGAAAACTAAAAAAAAATGTTAACATTCTAAAAAAAATACATAATGATCAAGTCAGGGTACTTAACACATCTCTTCAAACTTTAATAATTGGGGCTGGGGGTGTGGCTCAGCGGTAGAGCACTTGCCTAGCATGAGTGAGGCCCTGGGTTCTATCCTCAGCACCACATAAAAATAAATAAACAAAATAAAGGTATTGTGTCCAACTACAACTAAAAAATAAATGTTTAAAAAAAAACTTTAATAATTTTATGTGTTGGGAATTTCGTACTCATCAAATCATTTTGAAATATGTCATAGGTTGTTTTAGCCAATAGTTACTCAAGTGTGCTCCAGAAAACCAGAACTAATTTTTCCTCTTTAACTATTCTGCTGCCTCTTATCTAACTTCTTTCTTTCCCCCTTCCACCTACCCTTCCCATTCTCTAATGACCACAGTTACCCTCTGTTCAATGAAGCCAACTCTTGCATTTCCACAAATGAGTGAGAACATGTGGTATTTGTGTGTCTGGCTTATTTCACTTAATATAATGACCTAGAGTTCCATTCACGTTGCTACAAATGACAGGATTTCATTCTTCTTAATGACTGAATAATAGTGTGTTGTGTATATTATTTATACCATTTTCTTTATCCAATCATCATTGATGGATATCTTGGTTGACGCCACAGCTATGTTATTGTAAATAGTGCTGCAATAAATGTGGGAGTGCAAGTATGTCTTTGGAATGATGATATCATCTACTTTGGAAATTTTCTCAGTCGTGGAATTGCTGGATCATGTAGTAGTTCTGCCGGGGCCCTGTGCATGTTGGGAAGATGTTCTACCACTAAGCTACATACCCAGCCTCTAATTTTAGTTTTTTAAGGAATCTCCATACTATAATCTCTTTACTATAATGGCCATACTAATTTACTTTCCCACCAACAATGTATAAGAGTTCCCCTTTCTCTGCATCCTTAACAGACTGTTTAAATTTTTGTCTTTTTAATAGTAGGCATTCTATCAGTGAGGTGATATATCACTGTGGTTTGATATTTTTTTTCCCCTGGCTACAAGTTTATTCAACACAGAATAATACCTTACAAGTTCATTGAGGTGGCTGATCATGTCCATTATTTATTGCTTATATATACCTGCCTCTAAACTGGAAATTGATTGCTGACCTAGCCCAGATTCGACTTTCTTGTCAGCATCAGGGGGCACAGCACTTCCGTAGGTGTTTCTGTCAGCTTCCTCTCTTGTGAGTCTTGCAGGCCATATGCTCCCCAGACCTTTGGGCT